ATTGCTATCGCATTAATACGTAAAATGTAAAAAATCATATAAAATGTAAAATCATAAATTATACAATTTCAGGTGTTTACATTTTTTCGTGTAAACGACGAAAGTCAAAGTCAAATATGATTTTCATCGTCACGAGAAATCAATTTACGAGTTTGATAACAAAAGTGATACGATACGATATGTTCTCTACGATAAGAGAACATTTGCATAATAATTAAAAAAAAAAAAAATAATGTTTACAATTCCGGATTTCGCGTATGTGTGATATTACGATCGTACAAATAAATCTATCCAAATAGTATTTATACTTGTCTCTGAAAAACTTATCGCAAAGTTCGATGAACAATCATATTTCGATGAACATCGTAATGAACGGTTGTATCATGAAATTTGAAATCTATTTCAGAAATACCATCGAATCAATCGTGATTCTCTCTCTCTCTCTCTCTCTCTCTCTCTCTCTCTCTCTCTCTCTCTCTCTTTTTCTCTGTCTCTCTTTCTTTTTTACAAAAGGGACAATATTTATGAAATCGATTAGAAAAATAAATCCTGTTGATGAATTAGAATATTCTAAACGAACAAATACAGAGATAATTCAACATATCCGATGAAATATCATTGGTAAACATATTTGTTTTAATTTGAATATTTATTGGATATTTTCCATTGGATCAATGGATATTTTAATTTCTTTTTCTTTTTTCTTCTTTTTCCTTTTTCCATCGATTCAATCGAGCTTCTTCCTTTATCGTAAGAATAATTAATCGAGCTAAGTAATCTTTTAATTCAATCGATATCGTATTGTCGACAATAAGTGAGTACGTATAATAATGAACAAATTTTATTATCTTTTGAAAATCGCAAAATTTCTTCCCCTTTTCTCCGTTCTCCATCCCCGAATTCCCCCACTTATTTTTTTTCCTACGATCCGATGCTTTTCATTTTTCTCTTTTCTTTTTCTTTTTTCCTTTTTTTTTTTTTCTTTTTTCAAATGCGCAAGCCATTATCGATTTATCTTAAAGCATATTTGTTATTTTGAATCTTAACGTGCTCAATATTAGCTATAATCACGGTAGAATACCATTCTAAACAGTGATAACACGTATCACGTGTGTACTGCTATCGTCCACGTGCTGCTTCTATCAGCACTCACGTTTATACAAATACATTACCGGTTTACTCTTCGATTTAATTTAATATTTTATACGCGATTACCTTGACGTATTAGAAAATAATATAAAAATAATTTTTATTAAGAGTATACGTAATCGTTGATTCTGTTTTTTCTTTTTTTTTTTTTTTTTTAATTTGAAATAAAAAAAAAAAAAAGAAAAGAGGAAGAGTTAAAGAATAAATTTATTAAGTTTATTAATTTAAAAAGTTTCATTTGCTTAGCTAATAATTATTCGTAACGAAAAAAAAAAAAAAGAAAAAAAGAAAGAGATGGAGAACAATTTCTTTCTTCCTTTTTTTTTTAAATTATTTTCGTATATTTTTTTATTTTTCTATATTTTGTACATTCAGTAAATATTCTTTTTAATAATTTTTTTATATTGACCAAAGATCCTTTATATTATATTTATTAAAATACTTCTTAAAATATCTTTTACGTTTATACGATTTTTTTTCCTTTTTATATTTATCGAACACACTTCGTTAAATATTTTATATAATTGTAATACTTTTCTTTAGACTTTTTCATAATCGTTCAGAATATATTTTTTTTCAATATCATAAATATTATTTCAAATTATTTTTTAATAGAACTATTCGGTAAACCTGATATAGGGGTTATCCAATAAGTATTATCAAATATTTTTTCTAGAAGTAAAGTAGATTAAAATTTTTTTAATATCATTATTGTAAGATACGTAGTATAATCGAAATTATATATAAAATACAATATCGGCCAAATGAAATACAATATCCTTTTATTCCATATAAATGTTTTTAATGACATTTTTTACGTAATAATTTCGTTTTTCACATAATTTTGCACGTGAAATATCCCAATTGCCAAATTTGCCTATCGATTTCATCATAATGATCTGTCGAATTTCATTTTTGAGATTTTCAACGATTTTCATATTGTCGTTGTAAACTTGACTTTTGACTTTTGACAAGGAGAACGATCCAGCGTCAACAAATCGCACGATCTTATCGATGAAATTAATATCATTGCGGGAAAATTACCCATGAACTTTAATCTTATTGTAAAAAAAAAGATCCATGCCGGGCATTTGGCCGAAATTGTGTTTCATATGTAATCGTAATTAATCATAATGTAAATATTTTTTAAATGTATTTAAATTTAGATATATATATTATATAAATTATATATATATTAAATGTATTTATATATATATATAATTTTAAAATTAAAATTAAAATTTATATATATATATTATTATATATATATATATATATATATATATATATATTAAAGCGAAGATAAAAAAAATTATTTTTTTAATTTAAATGTTTTATCTTAAAAAACAAAAAAGGAAAAAGAGAAAAAGAAAAAAAAACATTCGTTAACTCTTATTGAAAAATCTTATGTATGGACTTAAAACAATGGTATGTGTGTACACAAGTGAGTGTATGTGATTGAAGAGAAAAGAAAAGAAGAGACAGAGAAAAAGAGAGAGAGATAGAGATAGAGAGAGAGAGAATTGATAACATATAAAGATAGAGAGAAGAAAAAATGGAAAGTAAAATTGATTGGAAAGTCGAGCCTCCCTTCTCCTTCCTTTCTACCTCCCCCCCCCATTCTGATCTCATCGAGTATATTCATCTTTGTCTTTTAGAATGGAATTTTACCGGACAAAGCAAAATGTTACGCACGTTTTTCACGAAACAGAATTACTATTTATGTTTAGTTATGCATTTCAGTTTGTATTAATGTCGGCAAGGACACGGTGACGTTCGAATTAGATAACGAAAATAGAATCTTAAACAGTCTATTTATTTTCAATTCGAATACCATATCTTTTGTTTCTATTATAAAATATAATGAATGTATATATATATATATATATATATATATATATATATATATATATATATATAATGAATATAATATATAATGAATAATGAATAATATATAATGAATATAATATATAATGAATAAAAAATATAATAAAATATAATGAATGTATGTATATATATATATATTCATTATATTTAATTTTTAAGAATTTTTAAGAAATTTTATAAATTATAAATGATAAAGATTAAGAGTTTACGCGTTCACTCACACAATAGAAAAGTAGAAGTCTACTCTGTAAATGTGATGTGCCTAGATTGCGTTCTCGTAAGATTTAGGTCCTACTACAAAAAAGTTAGGGTGATTGTATGAATTGACATTGATCATTCTTCCAAAGTTGAAATTTTCTAAAATTTTTCTTTTATGATCTATTTCCAATCATACTTTCTAACAGATCATATTTTCGTTACGTTTGTTTTGGCTCTTTAATCGTACATAAATCCCTTTGTACAGAATCTAAAGACTCGTGGAAAATTCCATCAGAACTTGTAATAAATATACTTTATATGATAGATAAAATAATATAGACAACAATTTATTTTTTTCTTTTTTACGAATCTTTTCATCGCGTAACGATTGAAAATAAAAAAAAACATTTTAACTGGCCAAGTTAAAAAAAAAAAAACAAAGAAAAAGAACACTGCTATAAATTACCTTTAATATATTCTGATTATCAATACTAATACAAAACGATCGAATAAGGAAGATTAAAAATGACGCTATCGCGATCGTTAATTTCATGAGAGAGGAAAAAAAAGACACTTTTAATACAAAACGATTGAATACAAACAAGATTAATTAGATTCTCTTGTTTTGTCTGATATAATCTTGGTTGAAGTAATAACAAAATTCATTATTCTCTTTAATATATATATATATATATATATATTCTTACATTTGTTATTTATTACATAATTGTATTTTTCATTATCATATTCTTATTTATATATATCATGTAAAAAATAAAGAATGAAATGAATAAGAATATGATAAGGAATAAGATAATTATATATATATATTCTTTTTCTATATTCTATTTTATATATATACATATATTTTTTTGTCTATTTTCTATTTTATAAACAATATACATAAACAATATATATATATATATTTTTATAGACAATATATATATATATATATATCTTTTCTTTCTCTTCACGATATTGATCTATCACATGCTATCGTGCACATTTAACACGTGATCTACAAGAGGCTTCATATCAATGACTCTTGCTGTTTCGTAAAATCAAATGTGAGCTAATCGAACTCACATAGTTTGTGCGTAACCATCTTGTAGCCATTTACATCTTCAATCAGATTCCATAGAATCTTTGTATATATAAAATAGATGATAAAAATTTCAAATATTTCGAAAGGAAAAAAAAAAGATCTTCGGTAAATTGAAATATCATTCGATGATAACAAAAGAAGTGATTTTACAATCTATAGATCTCTTTTTAGAATTGAATCTCGATTAAAGAAACATCGTGTTATATTATATAGATCAAATGCCATAGTCTCTCTCTCTCTCTATATATATATATGACAAATTAATCTATAATCGTTTGTATTAAATCTAAACATCTAAAGATTATAAAATATTTATCGATATACACGACAACGTGACTTAACTCAAATACAATTAATTTTTTTATATATTAAATAACGAAGATATCATAAAAATAAAAAAAAAAAAAGCTATACGATATAAAATGTGTAACATACGTGGACACGTATGTAAGTATATACAATATGACTACATGTGTATATACGTATGTACTTATCTTAAAAGAATTTATTTATGATTTCCCATAAAAAAGCGATAGCTTCTTATTGTCAATTGTCGGCGATGACTGTAATATGAAAGACAAAGAACTTATTAGGACGATAAAAATGAGAAAATGAGAGAGAGAGATAGATTGACATAAGCGTGTCAAAAATGATAGGAGGAGGAGATTGATGCGCGCGCATTTCCCCATTTGTTCTCTCCCAACTTACGGACACTATATATGACGTCACCGAAGTAAATTGTAGCACTTAGCTTAGAGTTGCATACAGAAGTCCGAGAAAATCTCTTTTCCAACACTCAAGTTCTACAGGTACGACCTCATCTTCAAATTAATCAATCTGATTGATTCGCTCAGACGATAATCTTTATTCGAGGTTATCTTACTCTCATTACGGACTATTACGTTAACCGATAATATATTTTCAATCGCTAACGATTCGCCTTCCTTTATCTTTTATCTCTAACGTTTTTTTCTCTTTTTTTTTTCTTCCTTCCTCTCTTTTTCTTTCTTATCGTCTTCTCTAATTCCAAGCGTTACGAAGTACTTACACATGTTGAAAACTATTGAGATTTGTTTTATCCGCCATTACCCGCCGCGACATTATCGACGGTTATTTTGAAAAAAAAAAAAAAAAAAGAAAAATGACGCTAAAGGTAAAATTAGAAAAGATCTTATTATTCCTATGTCTTTATATTTTATCAACTTTTTCCTAATTAACCGACGTATATGTTACGATTTTTTTTATTTGTCTTTTCGTTTGAAAAGATTTCATATCTTGACTTTGTTTAACCAAAAAAGAAAAAAATAATTACTGTTAGTTATTTATAATCAGTACTGTTTATACAAATATAGTTTTATGAATAATTTTAATAAATATCAGTATTATGTAAATATTAAATGCGTTTATTGTACGATATTATTTAGAAAATTTAATTCTCTTTTAATCCGGCTTTTTTTTTTTCTTTTTTTTTTTCTTTAATGAAAACGAAATATAATTAGCGATTTATTATATAATAGGTGCCGAATATAAATCATTATTTTATTTTAAAAATTAAATATAAATATTAGTATTAAATATTGAATATCTATGATCTCAATATAATCGTGGAATATGGAATCGCTTAGAAAAATTAATAATTATTGGCTTTATTTAATGTAAATTAAAAATAATTAATGATTTAGAGCTATAATCGATGTTGGATACGAATATCATTTTCTTAATAATTTTATTGAATATTAAATCTTAAATAGTAATAAGATTATTATAATCATATGTTATGTACTTATTAATTATTAATTTAAAAAATAGTATTTCATTATTTAACCAACAATATTGTCAAAATATAAATAGAAACTAATATGAATCTTACATTTTTTTTTTTTTTCATTAATCAAAGAAACCACTTTCAGAGATCGTAATCAACATCTGATTAAGTATAGTATTTTAATTATAATATGTAAGTTAAATATACTGATTAATTATACATGTTTACGCAAAATCTCAATTTAAATCAGAGTATCAGCATTATTCGTACGCATCGTATCGCATATAGTTATCTCAAATCATACGAAAAGATACCAATGCGTGTGTGTATGTGTATATGTACGAAAATTAAATATACCTTATTTAAAACAGTCATATATATATATATATATATTTGGATTAATGAACGCGACAATTTTGATAATCGCATCGTTCAATAAAAAATTGCTGATAAATGATCGCTTGTTATTTTTCAAATCTTTTGCAATTTCAGAATCTAAAAACACAAAATAATTTTCCAATCATGGCTGAATCTCTCGAACAGATGTCAAAAATTGACACAATTAAACTTCGCGAACGGCATATCGGGTAAGTTCTTCAAATCTTATCAATAAGTCCATATTATCATAATAAATCTATTGATACTTGCTAACATTCTTATTGATGATTGATTTATTCAACATGTGTTATTTAAAATAAATAACTATCACATTTTTACAAACCAATTAATTTCAACTCGACTCGTTATCTTTTTGATAATATCGAACAAAAAATGAATTATTGATCATTGTTTTACATATTTTTTCATTTTTTCCTCTTTTCTTCTTTCTTTCTTTCAGACAATCATGCAAACTGTTTTACAAGTCCAATCCATTAAAAATTGTCAAAGCCGAAGGACAGTATATGTTTGACGAAAAAGGTGGACGTTATTTGGATTGCATAAACAATGTCGCACATGGTAAGTATATAGATAAATATATATTTACATTCTTTTTTTTTTTATGATTAAATCATTCACTCGATATCCATTACAATTGGGATTAAATTATAGTTGGACATTGTCATCCGGATGTTGTAAAAGCCGGACAAGAACAAATGGCATTACTATCGACGAACAATCGTTTTCTACACGACAATATTGTGATCTGTGCGAGACGATTGACTTCTTTAATGCCGGAACCTTTATCGGTTTGTTTTTTCGTTAATTCTGGAAGCGAAGCCAACGATCTTGCACTTCGTCTAGCACAAACACACACTGGGAATAAGGACATTATCACTCTCGATCAGTACGATCTTTTATATAAATTTTATTTTTTATATATATATATATACAATTCTATTTTTTTTTCTTTTTCTTTTTTTTTTTTTTTTTTTTTTAATATTAAATTAATATCAAAACATGTTTATTGCTTTAAAGAAATAATGATTTTAACGTTAAGATTTAAAATGATTGAAGCTTTTACGAAAGTAAATTACTTTTGTCAACTTTTCTATTCTATTCTTTTCCAAATAGAAATAAATTAAAAAAAAAAATCATAAATAAAAGATATCAGATAAATAAAGATATCAGACGTACGTCAAATGACAATATAATTTAAAATATTATGTAATGCCATTTAATCCAATGATACAAATATTGTTTTTCTTTTATAGCGCTTACCATGGTCACTTAACGTCAATGATCGATATCTCGCCATATAAATTTAATCAAATGAAAAATGGAAAGAAGGATTGGATCCATGTGGTATTAATATATATTTAAATATTATGTTTTAAATGACAATTCTAATTTTATTTTTCTAATCTTATTAGTGATAATGTTTTATTATATTATTAGGCACTCTGTCCAGACGTTTATCGTGGTAAATATCGCGATGATGATTATCCTAATCAAGATCTTGGTCTAAAATATGCGGAAGATGTAAAACGGATAACAGATGATCTGAAACTTAAAGATCGAGGTGTTTGTGCATATATTGCAGAGAGTCTAATGTCCGTCGGCGGACAAATTATTCCTCCTAAAAATTACTTTAAAAACGCATTCAGGTAATTATATTTTCTTTTTTTCATACTTATCATCCTTTTTTAATGTTCCTATTTCACATTCTTTCTTCAAAATCTTCAACTATAAAAGAACAACTTATAAAATTTATTCAAAATTACCTGTACTATACTGTTTTAGAAAAAAATACCACCGTGAAAAAATTGACATTCAATAATAATTGTACGTGTACTCGTTGAAATCATGAAATCAACAAAAAAAAATGAATTTATCGGTTGACAAATGATTATAAAAAAAAAATGCACCCAATTGTTTTCACCAATATTGTTTTTTATTTTTTTTTTCCCCTATTGCTTTAACATTAGTACCACCATATGATAATTTGAAAACTTTGGATACTTGAAGAAAAAAAAAGAACACTTTATTCGTTATTATTTTTATTAATTTCATGATTAAAAAAACAAAAAAAAAACAAACAAAAAACTTTTTTTGGGTATAATAATAATTACATTGTCGATAATTTGTAAAAAAAAGAAAATTTAAAATTCGTTATCCTGACGAGTTTGAATGACAATTAGGAGAAACGAAATGAAATAAAAAATATATTTATTTAGATACGTAAGAGAAGCTGGTGGTGTATGTATTGCCGACGAGGTTCAAGTTGGTTTTGGTAGAGTCGGTAGTCATATGTGGGCCTTTCAACTTTATGGAGAAGACGTGATACCAGATATCGTAACAGTTGGAAAACCAATGGGTAATGGACATCCAGTAGCAGCAGTAATCACAACACCTGAAATTGCAACCAGTTTCAAGAACACCGGAATCGAATATTTCAATACGGTAATTATCATCGAAATAAAGAAGACTATAAATTGATTATAAATAATTATAAATGAACATATATTTTATATTTAATTTCATTTGTAATATTTTCGATTTGCAGTATGGCGGTAATCCAGTATCCTGCGCGGTAGCCAATGCTGTTATGGAAGTTATCGAACGTGATAACTTACAAGAAAATGCTTTTCGAGTTGGGCAACATTTAATGATGGAATTAAAAAAATTATCTAAACGTAGAAAGATCATCGGTGACATCCGTGGTGTTGGATTGTTTATTGGTATAGAATTAGTAAGAAACAGAATAAAAAAGATTCCAGCTACTGCCGAAGCGAAACATATTGTTTCTAGAATGAAAGAAAAGAAAATTCTCGTTAGCAGTGATGGTCCAGATGATAACATTCTCAAATTGAAACCACCTATGGTATTCACTATTGAAAATGCTAACGATTTTATATCCGTTCTCGATGAGGTTCTACAGGAAATTGAAATTGATATCGAAAAGGTAATTTTTTTTCTTTTCCTTTATATTTTCACTCCTATGATATAGTTTTGTTAACATGTTGATGTCGTGCTGTGTTAATGACGCAACTGAATAACTTATTGAAAAGTGATAGCCTCTGACAAGAATTTCCGTTCTAGCTACATTTTATCAATTATATCGTACGAAAGCTTTAATAATTTGTTTTTCTCGAATGTTCTTTAAATAATCATGATTTGCAAAATAGGTAATATAAGTTAATAAATTGATAAGCACGTGCCAATTATTTTTTCATTATTAGAAACGTTATTTGCGTCATGCTAACTAATCTTTGTTTATTCCACTACTTTCTCAATAACCTCCATTTTATTATTAGTATTAATTAAAATGAAATGTCGACATAAGTCAATGTCAAGTTCATCAATATTTCTCGCTCATATTTTATTTTAATTATTCTTAGTTTTTTTATTACTTATTTTTTTATTCCTTATCCATAAGATAAATTATTAAAAATTTATTTATTTTCTTTTTTTTTTTATTTTTCTTTTATAGGAATTGGAAGTTACACGAACGGTGATCAAAGCAACAATTTCACAGATGAATCTTGATAATAATTCGACTCCTACCAAAACAAATTCGGTTCTCGTTCGTGCGAGTTAATTATTTATTTATGACGATTGAAGAGATGCAAAGTATTATATCATTATAATTATTTTGCGTAAAAAATGATATTTTTTTCTAATTAAGAATGTTATTCCTTTTATAATAAAAAAATTTATGCGTCTGTATATCAAAATTTCTAAATTATTTTTCAACCATATATTTTATGTAATTCTCTAATTGAATAAATATATAACATTTTTATTTAAATCGACGATTTTATTCTTTCCCTTTTTCTTTTTTCTTTCTTCTTTCTCAAAATCATAATGTATTGTAAATTAAAAAAAGAAAAAAAGATGCAAATTACTATACTATATAATTATTATCATACTTATTATTATAATTATAGAATATAATTTATATAATATTTATTAGATATTATAATTATAAAATATTATATTCTATAATGATCTTGCATATAAATGACATTTTGTAATGAAGAATGATATTTCTTTTTATAATAAATAGTGTATTTTATTTTCTTTCATATATTTATTTTATTTATCATATCGAGTTTTATAAAATATAAAAATTTATGAAACAATTAAAATTTATAAAATTATAAGCACGTATACGTATTATGTGAAAAATTATTTGAAACATGTCAGACATACAATTAAATAATCCTTACCTTAGAAAAAGAATAAATTAATTAAACTCTATGAACTAAACAGCAATATGCAATATCTGATAATCAATGTTTATGATAGTCATCCTTTGAAAAAAATTACAAGGGGTCACTGATAAGACGATTTATTATAAAATTCAAGATCAACTAATGAATGAGAATTCCTTACGTATTGATAAAATCCGAATGTTATTGATGTTATTAACATGTCACCTTGAAGTATAATATAAACGAAATACAAATAAATTTATTATCTTTGCTAATACATATTGAAACAGCATAAATTGTAGTTCTTTCAAAGGTCATTAAAAAGATTTTAACTGAATAGCAATAATACAATTTAGTGAGTTGTAATTTTATACGTGTTGAATATAATTTCAAGAGGTCGATGATTAGAAACGAAGAGATGATTAGATTAGAGGTCATACTGAAACTGCTAATGATCCCGCAATATAAATAGATCTTAAGCGTTAAAATTTTCATTCCCGTTTGGTTTGTCCACAGACACTGCCAATATGCGGTCTCTTTTTATTCTGCTACTTTTTGGTAAGATTTTTATAATTTCTTGTTTTTTCTAAAATTCTTTATTGACATTCTAATAATACTGAATTCTTATTAATAAAGAGATTGATCAATATTACATATATAAAAAATTAAATTATTTTCAATCGTTTCTTTCTCTCTCTCTCTCTCTCTCTCTCTCTCTATATATATATATATATATATATATATATATATATATATATATGTATATATAAAATCGTCTGTATGTGTGTATAAATCCATTTATATAATAATATTTAATAAACAATTAATTAATACTTGTTTTTTTATAAAGTTGGACTTGCCTTGAGTAATCTCCATAACAACGACAAGCATGCTTGGAAAGTTGGTGAGGAATACCAATATCTGGTACGTAGCCGTACCCTTACTGGACTGAAGACATTATCTGATCAATATGCTGGTATTCTAATGAAAGCGATCCTAAAGATTCAATGTAATTCACCTGACACCCTTAGAGCACAATTATTGAAACCACAGTATGCTCAAATACACAAGAAACTACCGGATGGTTGGGATTCTCATATATCTGATCAGATGTTAGAACATAAACATCTACCTCTTTCCGGCGAACCCTTTGTGATCAAATTCAAACATGGAGTTATAAGAGACTTGATCGTCAACAAAAATGTACCAACTTGGGAAGTAAATATCATCAAAAGTATCATCAGTCAGTTCCAAGCTGATACGCAAGGAGAAAACTTGAAGGGAAGTAAGAATACTCAAATACCGGAAGATGATAATCCCTTTGCATCGTTCCGTGTCATGGAGGACTCCGTAAGTGGAAAATGTGAGGTTCTTTACGACATTGTACCATTAACAGAAGCCATCATTCAACATCATCCACACGTATTGCCAAAACCAGAATTACGTAAAAACGGAGAACATATGTACGTAACGAAAACAAGAAACTACGACAAATGCGAACAACGTATGGATTATCATTTTGGAATAAGTGGAAATACAAAATGGGAATCCGATATTAGAAACAATGAAAACATCATGAAGGTAAATTATATTAATTAATTTGACGAAAAATTTATACGATAAGCGATTATAGGTAACTATTGTTTACTTTTAAAATAATATCAGTTTTAGACACAATATGTTTATTCGATTCACAGAAATCATCAACAAGTAACATGGTTATATCTGGTAAACTCAAGGACTTTGTGATACAAACATCAGTGACAACAACTAAAATAATCATGAAGCCCAGACTTGTAGATGAGCAAGAGAGCATCGTAATAAGTAAAATGAATGTGACTCTCGTTAGCATCAATAAAGCTTTGAATCCGATACCAGCACCGAATAATCCTGAATCGGTTGGAAATCTAGTTTACACTTACAACGATCCTTTCTCAAAAACAGTACATAGACGACCTGGACGGCCTAGCGTAAGTCCTAATTCAATGTCAAATGAACTAAATTCTGCTTCTGAATCTAACGAAAACTTAGAAATGATGAGAGAGAAATACGGCAAAAACGATAGGATGAATTATGTTAGCGACGAGGATAAAACATTCTGGCAGGTGAAACCAACGTTAGACGAAGCACCTAAAAATCCTATGCTACCATTATTCATAGCTAACAATGGTAAAGCGGTCGTTATGTCTGATAAGGTTAACTCAGAAAAAATGGTAACGACGCTTGTTCAAAAAATCGCAAATGAAATGGAAAATCCAAACATTATGCCTGATGAAGAGACCCTAGAAAAATTCACAATTGTCTCAAGATTGATAAGTAGTATGAGTCTAGAACAGATAAATAAGGCCGAAGAAAACTTGCGTTCTGTTTGGAATGAAGTTGGTTCCGACGAAACGAATAAAATGATAAAGGAGAACGCTAAAGTTGTATTTCGTGATGCCGTTGCTAATGCTGGAACTGGACCTGCTCTAATGACTATTAAACGTTGGATTGAAAAGAAGCAGTTGGAAGAATGCGAAGCTGGTGATGTTCTGGCAACCATACCTAAGACTGCACGAACACCTACAGCCGAATACGTGGATGCTTTCTTTGTAAGTGTCACCGCTATCATCAACTTATTTGCAAATTATAATTAAAATATATTTCAAAATTTTTACGAATTAATAACATAATCTACATCTTATGTACAGTCATTGGCAAGTGATCCAGAGGTACAGAAACAAACGTGTCTGAATTCGTCGGCTATTTTATCTTTCGCTGAACTAGTGCATCACGCTCAAGTTTCTAACAACAGCATTTATAATCATTATCCAGTTAACGTATTCGGACGTTTATCCTCTAGAAAAAATGACGCAGTTTTAAGAAAGTACATTCCATTCCTTGCAGAACAATTAAAGAAAGCTATCAAGGATGAAGATAGTCCAAGGATCCAAGTGTATATTATCGCTTTAGGTTTAACAGCACATCCAAAGATATTGAGCGTTTTGGAACCCTATCTTGAAGGCAAGGAACGAGTATCAACTTATCAACGTTTTCTGATGGTTATGTCTTTGAAAAAATTAGCTGAGATTGAACCTACCCTGACTCGTTCTGTCTTATACAAAATCTACATCAATACTTGGGATGTTCATCAAATTCGTTGCGCTGCTGTCAACTTAATAATGAAAACTAATCCACCATTATATATGCTCACGCGTATAGCACAATTCACTAATTTCGACTACAATGGACAGGTCAATTCTGTTGTTAAGTCAGCGATTAAAAGTGCAACTAAATTGAACTTTCCCGAATGGAAAGAACTATCAAGAAATGCTCGCAAAGTGCTTCATCTATTGAATACAGAATCCGATAAGTATTATTACTCAAAGACTTACTTTACAGAAATGGAATCAAATGATCAGCTGTCTTACAGAATGATGTTAAATTATATCGGAAGTGATGGCATAATTCCATTGTCCACATACGTTGCCTTGCAACCCTCTTATAATGGCTTCCTTAGTCCTATTTCTGAATTAGATATGAGTATATCGAGCATAAACAGTCTATTAGAAATGAATTGGCATAAACACGGAAAAGCAAAAACCGAAGAGTCGATCGCAGAGAAAACTGCAAAAATGCTTAACATTGAATCAGACGATGTTGAACAAGTTGAAGGAAATGTCTTCTTTACGACGCCATACATCAATCGATACTTTTCTTTTGATAATCATACCATCGAAAGGATTTTACGTGGTAAGTCATTCTTATCTTATTTTAATATACCGATTATTACAATTCTTACCAATATATAATTTTCCATTGTTCTAGATCTACAGTCTCCAAAAGATAATCGTCATGTTAACATGAACAAATTGTTGAGTTACGACATTACCTTGAGTTTTCCTACTGAAACTGGTTTACCTTTTGTTTATTCCTTACACGTACCTATAATCAGAAAATTAAGTTTTATAAGTAAACCAGATATGAATTCTAAATTCGATATTCGTTTACTTATGGCTAATAAACATCAAGGAAGAGTTGGTTTCATAACACCATTCGACCACCAATCATTCGTATCGGGCATCGATGTCAACATGCAAGTTTTCCTACCATGCAAACTAGATTTCCATTTGACTAATGAAAAATCCAGGCTCGACGTAGCACTACAACCATTCAAACAAAATAGCAGAACCAGGGTGGGACACTTTAGTGTGGTACCTTATACCTCGCAATATGAAGTCATGTCATTCCACCCGTTGCTATTGGAGAAAAATACTCATAAAATCCAAGAGAACGAAATAACACATATTAAGATGCCACAAGATTCTAACAGCGTTTTCTCTGTAGAAATTGAAACTGAAAACCTTGTTAACAAATTCCAGAAATGGATAAGAAATGAAAATAAATGGAGCAACATGATGACTGCTTCAACATTGGCCTTAGGTACATACGAAAAATTCGACCTTTATGTCAAGCCTAATCTACAAGAAAACGAAGCTGTTAAATTCACTGCCACGTTGGATACTAAAGAAATTAGATCCAACAATATTGATACTACTGATGAATCCTGGAAATCCGGTAATGAAGTACTCAAAACAATGCATCAGGCACTTGATAGCCCGGCCAGAAGGAAAGAATTTTTACAAGAAATTTCTAAAGGAATAAATTCTGGAAAGGCTTACGTCATTGATGCAGGTCTGGAAATACCTGGAGTATGGAATAATAAACACGCATGTACGTTATGTTTAGCCAGTAGTAATGATGAAAATAAATTCCGAAGTCTTTTCTACTGGTACACGAACATACCTAGTCAAAATATAACTCATCAAGTGTGCGTTAACGGTCAGATAAGAAGTTCACCAACAACACCTTTCGATTATAAAAAAATACTTGACAGCCATCCAATGAAAGAATTCAGCGTTAATATTAAATTTGGAAGAACGTGCTCTGACGACTCGCTTGTCACCATGAAAGGACAGATCAAGCAAAGTGAGGATTATAAAATGTACATCCAAGAATCGGCAATAGTAAAGAGATGTGATGAAAATATGAGAAATAGCGTCAAGGATTGCCAGAAAGCTGCAGAAATGGCTACAAATCTAAACGAAATGGATATGAAAATTATTAAACATGATTCTAAAAGAGAATCTGATACTGAATTAAAACAAACATTCCATAGAATGACGAAAATGTTGACAGATTTAGACGTACAAGTTATATCTGAACTACGGGAACATCAGGACAACACCAACGACAAAGACAACGATGTGAATATTCACATAAAATTATCACCTGACATGACAAGCGCAGAAGCTATAATATCTAAATCTGGACACGTTTTGACCCTCTCCGATATTGATATTTCTGACAAGGATATTGATGATGAAGATGTAAACGAAATTGAAAAAGACATCTTACCTACTGGTAAGCAATTTGACCAATTTAAAATTTGTAAATGTTTTTAACGACACATTTTATAAACGATTAATATACGAACTTTTCATTTAAATAAATATGACATTTTCAGCCTCATGTACTATTAGAAACAACGAAATAATGACTTTCGATGATAAAATTTATCCTCTGAAACTTGGTAAATGCGCACATGTATTATTTACCACCTTCCCAAGAAATGATCCAAGTGAACATAATAGGAAAATGAACATTCGTGAAAATATGGAAGTGTTCGTTACTGTCGAAGAAACGGAACGTAACAAAAAAGAACTTCAGATGTTATTGGGTAATAACGAAATTTTGTTTAAATCATCTGACACAGAAGTTTCAGCTTGGATTAATGGACAAAGAGTGAAATGCTCACAGAAAGAAAGTTACCGACACATCAAAAATGATGAAACTCACTACGAAATATTTGAACTTCCCGGATCTGCCATTAAATTGATATCAGATAAATATGATATTGAATTGGTCTACGATAAAGACCATGTACAAATGACGGTAAGTAATATAATATACAAAAAATTATATCTTATCTTTAATATTATAATTCATAATAAACATTATTTCATTCCAGGTCCCTCATAAATATCAACAATCCATACGTGGTCTCTGTGGTGACTTTGATGGCCAATCTGAAAATGATTTCGTCACTCCAAAGAACTGCTTACTGCAAAACCCAGAAGAATTTGCAGCTACTTATATATTGAAGGAACGATGCGAAGGACCCGCTTTGAAAAATGCGAAAAAGGCAGAAAGCTCTAACTGCATAGAAAAAGTAATACGCTTCAGTGATGTGGTAAGCGACAGAGAAGCTGGACGACCATATGTAAATTGGAAGCAATGGGGTTATCACAAGAAAGAAAATAAGAAGCAATGCAATACCTATCATACTCGAGTTGTCACAAGAGATGATAAGATCTGTTTCACCACAAGGCCTGTACCAACATGTTCTAGCGGATGTAAATCTGTTATATCAAAGGAAAAGAATTATCAACTCTATTGTTTACCAAAGAACGAAGCAAGTTTAGGAATGAAAAGGAGAATTGAACAGGGAGCTAATCCTGATTTAAGTCAACGTACTCCTTCTGATAATGAAACTATTAATGTTCCCATCGAATGTGTACCTGCTTGATCAAGAAATATCCAATGAAATATATTTGTTTTATTTTTTTTTTTATTTTATAAAATAATCAATATTATTGCTACTGTTATTTTCAAAATGTATTATGTTTTCAATATAATATGAAATAAAAAGTAAAATCTGTAAACATTAAATAATATTGTATGTATTCAAATAATCATTATCCAAATCATGTTTTCAAATAATTCTTACGTCGAATGTTTGAATATTTAAAAAAAAAAATAGTTTCTGGAAAAGCAGAGAAACAAATGACAATAGAGAAAGAAAGTGAGAGAGAGAGAAAGAAGAGAGAGAGAGAGAGAGAGAGAGAGAGAGAGAGAGAGGGGGGGTAAGAAAGAGAAACATGATAAGAGAGAAAAAATCGAGAAAAAGAGAAAGAATAAGATAGGTAGGAGATGTGTTAGTATAGATTCTATCATGTCTGATGAGGAAAAGGGGTTATGTACTCCCCCATACCTAACATACCACTTACCATTATGCCAATACTCTACTCGACGCTTGACGTACTTGCACATTACATCGATAGTTATTGACGTGCTTATTATCACGACGCAATACACATGCGCAGACGACACGAGGCGCGCGACCTAACCTAACGTAACTAGTGGTGCTTATCCCGAGCATATTAACCTCAAAGACATGAGGGGTAAATGGAGAAAGGGTAGGAGGAGAAGTAGGACTCGTGGATTTGCTCGCGAGCCTATCGTTTCGTCGAATAGACCCGGGAATCCTCTATCGAACGCGTGAGAGAGAGAGAGAGAGAGAGAGAGAGAGAGAGAGAGAGAAAGAGATAGGGATAGGGATAAAGAGAAAGAGAAAAAGAAACAGGGAAAATAAATGTCAAAATGTAAGATTATGATAGAGTATTTATCATAATCTTATCATTTATTGTTTTTATAAATACCAAAAAAGAAATAAAAAAAATTCCTCCCACAGCCCGAGAATAAGATAAACAAAATTCGATTCTTAAAATAGTAAAATGATCGAAATGATATGGAGATTGATAGGATAGTATAGGAGGAATCGAAGAGAGAGAAAAAAGAATAAAAAAAAAAAGAAAATGAAAAGAAAGAGAAAAAAATCCAAAATTTTTGACAACGTATTAATATTTATAATTGTGTAATACGTAATTATGTCAATATATGAAAAATCCCGGAAAACTTAAATGGCGCATGCTCGAGCACGAAATCTAGGGTTTAAGTGTGATAGCAAGAGGAAGAAACAAGAAGAAGCATCCCCGGATTTACTACTTGAATTGATCGTAACTTTCATTCGTTAAAAGACTGCACGATAGATTACATGGACGCTTTGCGAATCTAACGTGACATTTTACGTACAAAACATAATGTAACAGAAACAAAGAAATTTATTTAATTAGAGAAAGAAGAAAGGAACGAACGAGAACGTTCCTCAACAAAATTTTAAAAAAATTCCGAAGACCTTGATAAAACTCTACGATAATTTCTTAGACAAACTACTATAATGGTTGTATTTGTCACAACTTCTACGACTCAAGGGTAAATAATTTATATACTTTTATTATCCTCAATAAATAATTAAGATACATTTATTATCCTCAAATTTTTCTAGTTGCAGTCATATTTCTATTTTATTACAGACTGTTATTAAGCGAAGAAGAAAGAGAAGCTATATATGAAGCCTGCGATATGACATATGGAATTTATTAATATTTTTCGATGATGACATAAAATCTTAATAGCATAGCTCGAATTTCAAAAAAAAAAAAAAAAAAAGAAAGGAAAAAAAAAAATATTAAGGTCTAAAATATCTTCTGCACGGAAAGCACATATTTTTGACCAAGGTCAAAGTCAATGGAATTATAATAATTAAGATTATCAATGGATTTCTAAAACTTTTGTACTATTTTTTGAAAATACTATAAATTAACATACTGAATTTTAAAGACATGACATTTTCTTTATTAAATATCATCCTTGTTTTTAATTAATTCATAAAGATCTATACCATGATTCATTACGTGATTGAATTTAAGGAGGAAGAAGAAGAAGAGAAAAATTTATAAACTTTGACGAGACTAAATAGGGCATCATTTCACAAAGATTTATCCGAATGGTGAAACAGAATACATTTATATATATACAATAATAACGAGATGGATTAAAATGTATTCCACCATGTATAAAAAGCTAAAGAAAAGGTAGGACAATTTTTAACCCATCAAATCCCAAAGAATTAAAAGAATCCTGTTCCTTCTTTCGATTTATCAGGTATCAATGCTGTTTATGCTTATTCTCTCATGCTATAAATACGCATAAATCGAAGGCTAAACTTTCAAGGACATCAAACAAGGTATTATCACGACGACTTCTTTTTCTTCTTTCTTTCTCTCGAAAGATCGTTCTCTCAATATAAAAGACAAGTAAAATAAATAAACTAATCCATGTTGAGATGCATAGCGGAGAAATTGTTTTGACAGGAACTCGAAGTAACGCTTACTGTGTCTTTCTAAATCGAAGGAAAACAACTAAAAATAGAGTTTAACTCATGAATTCTTACGGTCACAATTTTTGTTCAATTTTCAAGATAAACGATTAAGATAAAGATTTTGAAAAATAAAGATTTCTTACGTGAGATTGTCTTCTCAAATTTTCAAAAGTGGTTTTTACATGCGTGAAAATTACTCTTGAACGTGATTTATATACAGACATAAGAAAATAATGTTTTTCAAAAATTTGAAAATGTACTCTAGCGTGAAAAAATCTTTTCTCTTTCGTTATCGGTTCTTGATCATTAAAATCGAATAAAAATTGTGACTATGAGAATTTATGGCGTAAATGCTCGCAAAAGCGAAATTGAGAAAAAGAGAAATCGTTTGACTTAACAATGAAATGTTTTTGAAAGTTTCGAAATTATCCATACGAATAACCAATAGACATGTTTAAATATTTCTTCTCTAATTTTTTGTTTTCCAAGAAGAAAATGAAAAATCCTGTATCAATATTGCCTTTTTTCTTTTTCACAAAAGTTATTTGAAATAAATATCTTTCAGCATGCTTATTATAACGTATATAAACAATATAACTATATAAATGTAACTATATCTCTATAAGGTTAGAGAATGCGCAGAAAACCTTACGCAAAAGTTTATTTTTATAGGGAATATAAATTTATATACGTTTTCATGACACATTGTTAGATACAAACGCGACAGTAACATACATACATTGTACGTATTTAAAGTTTTTTTTAATTCGACCGTTTGTTTCGTTTATAATTTCGAAAAATGTCAGGTCGAAAAAAGAATAAAAATAAAATGACAGGGAAAAGATATCGTCATGTATTAAGAAAGGAAGAAAGGTATCGTCAAGAGAGAGATATATCTGACAAGGAACAATCAGGTTAGAAACAATTCCTTTTACTTTTTATGATTTTGAAATTTTTTTATTCTCATCGTCTGTATAGAATCTGATGAAGAATGCCCAATACCTTTTCCCGTTGCCATGTGGGATTTAGAACAATGTGATCCCAAGAAATGTACAGGTAGAAAATTATCTAGGCATGGGTTAATAAAAACATTGAGGTTAAGTACCCGTTTTCCTGGATTAGTACTTTCTCCCTCAGGTAAAAGTGTAAGTTTTCAACAAGATATTGTTTTTACGATTTATGTAGTTATTATATAATATATTTATGATAATCGTTAAATTATAGTGTGTCAATCCGATGGATCGTAATATTATACAAGATTTTGGTTGTGCCGTTGTGGATTGTAGTTGGGCTCGAATTGATAGCACACCAATTGGACAAATAAAGACACCTAATCCACGTTTGTTACCATTCCTCGTTGCAGCAAATCCAATAAATTATGGAAAGCCTTGTAAATTAAGCTGTGTAGAAGCAATAGCTGCAACATTGATTATAACAGGATTTCCAGATGAAGCTAATTTTTATTTAGGAAAGTTTTCATGGGGACATTCTTTTCTCGAATTGAACAAAGAATTATTAGGAAGATATGCTACTTGTACAAATGCAGAAGAAATTATAACTGTCCAGGAAGATTATCTTAAAAATGCAATACAAGAAAAATTAGATAGACAAGGTAAAATCTTTTGCTATTTTCTTCTAAATCCCTTATAGGTGAAAACATGTCTCAATATTATTTTTCTATTTTCTACACAGCACTGCCTGATTTTCCACCTAGTGATATAGAATCAGAAGAGGAAGAGAAGGAACAAGAAATCGATGATAGCTAGGCTCGATTTCATAGGTTGAATTCTTATATTAAAATAATAATAAGATTACAATGTTACCAAAATGAACAGAAAACTAGAAAATATTGAGACGTGAATACAATTTAAGTATCGACATTTTTATTTAGAACAAAATAGACACGATTGATGTAGTTTATGATAATTAGCTAACACTATTTTAAATATTTCTAAAGAATTATTTTAATTTCGTTACATATGCAATTTCTTATAAAGTTTTTAATTTTTTAAACCAGCTCATGTTTAACCAACATTACTCGTAAATTTTTCTAGCGTATAAATTGGTGATTTGTAAAATTTGGAGATTTTTAATAAATTTTTCAATTTTTGGAAATATCTCCATCTTAAAATTAGAAATTGGATCAAATCGAAATTGTAGATCTTCGTTGCAAGTAACTTCATCTTTTTTTTTCTTTATAAATTTCAAATTCGTCCATCTTTTTAGAGCGTATACAGCATACATATCAACATTTAAATTATGATATGAATTTATATGATACAAAAATTCAAAAACATTATTGAATATCTAAGACAAATTCGAAAATAATCATTTGTTATATTTGTAAATTATAAGGAATTTTACGATTATGTCTAAAAACATGCTGATGTGTAATATATATATATATATATATATATATACATTTTCTCTTTTATATATATATATATATATATATTATATATATATATATAAATATTATATATATATATATATATATATATAAATATTTTATATATATATATATATATAAAAGAGAAAATGTAAAGAATAAAAACTGCATTGATCACGTTAGAATGTGTATTTTTTTTTTTTCTATTTTTCTGTCGCATATAAGAATTCGTAGAAAAAATGTGAAAGTAAGTTTGTAAATGCGCGCGCTTTTTATTCATAGACCAATAGCGTAGATACGATGTGGACGCATTCAGCGAGCTGGCAACGTCGCATTATTTCTCGCGCACAGCTGATGCTTGACTGACGTCATAGAAACAAAGCCATGCGCGGTCGATCGTGCGACCGCGAAAGAAAGCGTACGGTCCTGGCCGCGATCGCATCGAGAAAACGTGACGTTTACAAAGTAACGTTTAAGCGCCCCTCATAACTCTATTCTCGTCAAAGATAACAACGCAACGACGAGACGCCAGTGTTGTTCGGTGTGCTTCGCGTAGGCGAGCGCGACGACATTATCCTCTTTTTCTCTTCCTCTCTGTCTCTGTCTTTACCCATCATTCTTATCTCTTTTCTCTTTCTCTCTCCCTCTCTCTCTCTCTCTCCTTCCTTCTTCCTCTTATACGTTCTCTTTGTGTCTTCCTTCTTCTCTTCTTTTATTTACAAAATTCATAAAGCCAAAACAGGTATGCCGTTCATATCAAAAGATTGGCGTAGCCCTGGAGAAGAATGGGTTAAGACGGTCGAAGGTTGGGAAAAGAAAAAGATACTCGAATGTGCGAATAATAAGACGTTATCACTTCTCCTTCGGTAAGTAAAACGTTCAACCATAACATTTTCTCTTTATATAATTTAAGCTCCCATCATTTTACGTATAATAATATTTCGTTTTATGATTCTCTCATACATTTGAAATAATAGCAATCTCTTATTGCTATATATCTTTTAAAGAGCAGCTGTCAGCTGAAAAACGACAGGTATGTACGTGAAATCGCATTGTACAAAACGCCAGGACCTGTTCTCTCGATACAAGGACAGCGTCGAATAACGGAACAGACGGTATTTCTGTTTTCGGTACTTGTCTCTTTCTTTGTCTCTCTCTCTCTCTCTCTCTTTCTCTCTTTCTCTCTCTCTTTCTTTCTTTCTCTGCAGATTAGTACATCTCTTTCTAACATGTTTCCTGCATCCGTCATGTGTCCGTCGCGTTTTTTATGACGCTATTATTTTGCTTTTTTAATTAATTCTCAAAGTTTCGCATATATTCGACGGACAAATGTAAATAAATATATTTTTCGAATGATATATAAATTTTGTTTTTTATTTATTTATTTATTTATTTATTTATTTATTTATTTATTTTTTATTTATTTTTTTTTGTTTGTTTTTTTTTTTTTTATGTCATTATTATTTCTTTCTTTATTTTTCCGTCATTTATTTCAGTCGTGAATAGACAAGTTCGCCCGTATCGTGGACTTCGCAACAACAAAGCTGACGACTGCAAAGTGGAAGACTTTCTATGTTGCCTAACGATAGATCGCGTTTCCCTCTGCTCTCGAGAGTTCAGTCTAGTTTTCTTTTTTTTTTCTTCTTTTTTTTTTTCTTTCTTTCTTTCTTTCTTTATTATATAAGGTCAGCTACCTCTAATAACGAAGAAAGCTATCCGTAGAGACTAACTATATAGGAATCTATTTAACTGTGCTTGAATTATCGGCTTGAATCGAACTTTCCTAATTATTTTCTTTAATTTCTTTTCAAAATTTTTAATTTCTTTTTTCTTTTTCTTTCTCTTTTTCTTTCCTTTTCTTTTCATTGATTAAATTACGTACAACACACATTGATTATATACATACATAATCTATAATTTCTTAATGACATTGACATTATATCAAGAACGCCATAATGATTTTTTTTGCGTAAATCAAAAAGTCATTGTTCACGATTATCTGATCTTTGTTATCTTTTGTAATTGAATATCAGTAGAAGAAAAGGTTTCTTCTTTTTATTATTATTAATACGTCGTGGCTTTCAGCGATAACGAAAAAGTAGAAAAAGTTAATCTTCGTGTTCACGACTTTATAATAGTTTGAAACGTCAAAAATAACAGAATAACAATTATCTTTATCTCAATTTAATTTTGTAGAATAATTTCTTAGATCGATAAAAAAATTTCGATTTTCGTCGTATGATTTAAAATAGCTAAGTACGAAATAACGGTATTCATCATTTTTATTTCAAACATATTGCCGTTTATCAAAACAACGAATTCCAATAAAACACAATATATATATATATATATATATATATATATATATATATATATATATATATATATATTGTATATATATATTGTATATAATATATATATATATATATATATATATATTGTATATATATATTGTATATAATATATATATATATATATATATATATATATTGTGTGTATGTGTGTATATATATATGTGTATATATATAATATTATAAGAAACTATATTATATTCAACTTAATTTATTATACATTATTATTATATAAATTAAATTATTATATTAATGGGATAAATTAGATAAATTTGTAATTTCTAATCGACAAATTTAAATAGATAATATTGCGAATCTTTTTCTAAACGTTAAAATTTTGAATTTACGATCTTATAGATTTAAATGAAGATTTAGAAATTAATCGATACTTGAAATCAAAAATAATAATAAATTAATGTTTATTGCGATTTTTTTTTTACGCAAAAAGAAATCGAAATCTAAATGAAATTAGGAAAAAGATATTTAAAATAGATTATTTAATAATTTTAAGGAGAAGTTTTTAAGAAAACTTGACAATTAAGAAGTTTTCTGACACTCTAAGGCTTTGAATTGTTTTACTAAAGGTAACTTAGAGTGATTACGAATTTTTTCGAAAAGAGAAGAAAAATAATTAATCTAAATAAAGAATGGTTAAGGTCAAAGTCAAGGATTAAAAATGAATAGTGGGGTTGAGTTGTTAGAGCTATAACGGTATAACAGATCAAAGAGAGACGGTGATATACAGATGGTATACAATGGATATAAGTATATCATACGTGACGACATATATATATATATATATATATATATATATATATATATATATATATAAAATACATATGGACACAACGAGAAGGTGTTTATCTTATGTGATAGAAAGAATAAACAAGAAGCAAGCAGGATGTCTTGGGCATCGTCTTATATTAATGAGCCACGACGTATGATTTTAAAATGACAATAATAATATCGTTTAAAATGAAGATATTATAATTAATTAAATATTACAATTATAATTAATTATAATATTTAATACCTCTCCTTAATTTATAACGAAAGACATTAAATGAAAAATAAATATCAAAATTGAAGAGTTGAATAACGGGTGGAGAGGAAAGAATTTTTTTTTAATGACAGTACAAATGGCCTATTTTCATAAATCGAAAAATAAAGGAAATTAGATTACAATCTTCATATAGTTTTTTATTAAAAACTTATTAAAAAAATAAAAAAAGAACAGATAAAACGAAAAAAATATATAAGCATATATTTTAAATCAATTACACTATCATTATCACTTAGTTTATACGTTTTCCACGCTTGTTCAATGTTTTGATCTTCTCACTTCTAATAAGTTACTTCGACATAATTTTATTACTAACTTATACAAGAAAAGTATTTCTCTCTCTCTCTTTTTTTTTTTTTTTTTTTTTTAAAGAGTCCTTGAAAAATGATTTTTTCCCACCACAACAATCCTTAATTTATATATTATCATTTTATTTTATATTTAAATCTATGCGCACGACGTATTATCAAATTCGTTCTTTTCGATTTAACGGAATAATAATTTCTTTATTATGAACTTTGAAAGATAATCTTATCAAAAATTGATTAATTGGATTATAATAAATGTGTTCAACCGATATGTAATTCTATATATCACGCATGAAAACGTAAAATCAGATAGGGTGGGAAAAAAAAATAAATAGAAACGAAGGGAGATATAAAATACTTGTATATCCTTGATGTAACTTTGTAGGAATCCTCGAAATCCAAAAAACGTCTGTGTGACGTATGCGAGTGTGGAAGTAGGTCATGACCTAGCTAATACGATCTCTACCTATTTTCATGATTCCTCTCGGTACACCGCCTGCTCTCCTCTCGGCCTTGACAAATGTATCCCTCAATAATTTGTCACTTTAAGAGCCATGCCTCTGCATCGCAAGCGAAATACTTGTCGAGTAAAATATCTGGAATATCTAGAGTGTATACACAATGTTATATTTTATATATAATATATATATACATGGTAGATAATATATATTATATATATATTATATATACAATATTATATATATTATATATATATATATATATATTTTTTTTTTTATTTTTATAAAATTTTATATTTCATACAATATTATATGATTATAAAGAGAAAAAGGGAAAAAAGAATTAATTCAAGGTCATTCAAATTCTTTTTCTTTCTCTCGCTTTTTCTTTTACCGACACTTCTGTTCAATATAATTCTATTTTCGCACCAAATTGAAGAATATTGCTGCAATTTGTTGATTTTTTTTTCCTCTTTGTTTTTCTTCTCTTTTTATTTTCTTTTTTCTTTTTCCTTTTTTTTTCTTTTCTTTTTTCTTTTTTTTTTTTTTCTTTTTATACATACTCGATATAGCGATACAATGAAAATGGGAGCGTCCATTACGTTCATCATTTGCGCATTCTTTTCACTACTGATCCATTTACGCCACAATGACAATCTTATCTACTCGATTGCAACGTTTCTTTTCTCTTTTTTTCTCTCTCTCTTTCTCTCTCACGCCCTTTTTTTCTCTCTCCCTTTTTTTCTTTTCTCTCCTTTTCTTTTCTATTTTATCGTTATTATAACGTTGCGCGAGTAATCGTGTTACTTGTAAAATCCTACGGTTCAGTTAAATTATGAACAATGTGTACGTAATCCTCAGCTGCATTATGCGTCCAAAGTATGTACCTATATACAAAAGGATCGATGAAAATGTTTTACCAAGATTGCATGAAAATGTTTTACGGATCGCGTGTAACATGGCAAGGAAAATAAACGTTTGTTTAAATCAACCTTGATATGATATAAAGATATAAAAAATAAAAATGTATGAGAAATATTTGATCGATATTTACAATGTCAAGCTATGTAAATATATATTTTCCATTTCTTTACGTATTATATATATTTTACTTCTTCTGTTTTTTCCTTTCTTTTTGTCTGTTTTTTTTTCTCCTTTATTTTTTTTTTCTTTTTTTTTTTTTTTTCTATATATGTATATATTTATTTACATACAACCCTTATAATATCAATCGTTTTATCCTATGTGTCATAAAGTATTATTGATTACATAATGTCGTGAATTAATGGTGTGAGGTTTCTCTCCCTGTACTACGTAAGCGAATTAATGCAAGGTCTTTCGAAACGACCTCATCAACGATTCATCGACCTTAACTCATTGCAAGTAAAGAAATAGTGATACACGAGCAATGAAAATTGGTTACAGTAAAATAGAATGTTATGACGCTATAAATGAAATATAAATTTCATCTGTAACGTTGATAAAACTAATTGGAATTTTTGTTCTTTTCTCTTATTTTCTTTGTTTTTTTTATTTGTTTTTTTCAGAGGTGAAAAAGATGCAAGTGACAAGAAGGAGAAGGATAGAAAGAAAGGTAAATGTAATAATAATTTTACTCAATTCCAAAGTTCGAATGTATTCGATTCCATTTCATTGATATCAATATAATATTTTAATATAATTAATAATTCCTTTCGTATATTTGATAAAAATCGAGTTAATATTTCGAATCATTTAACGCGCAAATTTCGGTTATGATCTGTCAAGAAAGGTTTTGACAATATTTTATTTCTATTCGACAATATTTTCTGACAATTATTAATGATTAATGATAAGTCTTGACGAAAATAATTCTCGTTAATAAAAAAAAAAATAAATAAATAAATAAATAAAAATAAAAAAAAAATAAAAATAAATATATAAAAAATATCGTTTGTTGACAACGATAATCTTAAAATAATTACGGGCAGAGAGTAAATTTTTGAAAGGAAAGGAATAATGAAGAAGAGTAGAGGAGGAGGGATTTATCGATTGGCAGAGTTCCGACCTTCGTCTTTATCCCAGTGTAATTTCAAGTTCGTAGGTTTCAAGTAGGAAGATCATCATGATGAACTGAAAAGAAAAAAAAAGAATAGAAAGGAAAAAAAACGAAAAATAGAAAGAGAAAATATAATTTCCTTTTATGTCGCTAGACATTCCGAACAAAATTCCATATTAAAAAGTATGTTTACGCGTTGATTTTTTTTTTTTTTTTTTTTTTTGTTAACTGTTTGTTCTTTTATCTTTTTGTATTTTCTTTTTATTTTCTTTTTATTTTTCTTTCTTTTTATACATTACTTACTTTTTTTTTTTTTTTTTTTTTTTTTCCTCATAATTTTAGAAAACGCCGTCCAACCGCATTGCCACATCACGTTGAAGTGCACACGTGAGGTGAGTGACTCCTTCCGCAGATGTCTTTATTTTTAGCACGGACTTGTGAAAGATGGAAGAAATGGGATTGGCCTCTTAAAGAAGGCGATCGTTCGTCTGTCATGCTTTCTAGAGGGTGAAAATTGTATGAAGGGAGAAGAAAGGAAATACGACGGGACCAATGGTCTACGTTAGAAATATTGTGCGAGACGATACGTACGCTCTTTGGTATTTATAGATTTAAAACGTGTTTTTTTTTTTCCTTTTTTTTTTTTTTTTTTTTTTACTTCTCCGATCAGGTGTTACTCTTGTGAAGTATGAATTAAAACGAATTAAATTCCATCGACCTCCTTCGTAAAATATTAATTATTTTTCTTTTTCTTTTTCTTTTTCTTTTTATGTCTTTTAAATTAATTATTACCTCGTAAATGATATTTATAGTAATTATTATTCCTAGCATTCATCTTTATTTAAACTATATTATTAAATATTAATAAATGGTTTCAATGTCATTTCACAGATCGCTGGTTTTAATGGATTAAGTGACGCCCTGAAGAGACTAGATTTTTTATCAGCAGTACATGACTGTCGTCGATTTAATTACATCGTAAGACTTTTGGATCTTCTAGTTAGTCACAGAATGGGTGGTTTGAGTGGTTGTGCACAACGAGTTCTTTTCAATATGTTAGAGGAAGTTGCGTTGGAAGGTTAGAAAGAAGAAATTTGTATATCTAAACCTAAATCTAATACATATATATCGCTATTTTTATTTTTTAATATATTTTCAATAATTTTTTAATAGTATCCTTATCGCAACAACAAACTGGAAGATTACGACGATTGATCGAAAGAGTTAGAGCCTTCAGTGCTGGATGTTGTTGGGGTGGAAGACCTCTAGGCTCTGTAATCTTATGGGAAAAACATAAAGCAGCTTTGGAAAGAATCCTACAAATTGCCTCATCTATTACTATAACTCAGGTAAATTATTATAACAATATTCACTCGATTAATTATTTAAATTTCTAAATTATATTGTTAATATTATATTTATTACGAAGAGGATTTCGAATTTAAATTATTATAGCCGGATGAAGAACAACAACCACAATGGTCAGATTTACCTCCAGAATGTCGTAGAGAAGTTCTTCTTCGATTAAGCGATCCGCAAGATATTGAAGCATCATCGGAAGCATGCGAACATCTCGCAGTTTTAGCTCAAGAACAAAGAATATGGCGAGAACTTGCTCAATATCATTTCACTCCACAACAAATAGCTACTACCAGGCAAAACAATCCAGGGAAAGATTGGAAAACTATATTTACTATTGCTAGAAGGTTAATAAATATAATTCCATAAATAAAATTGCAATGAAATTGTTAACTATTTTTATTTAAATTTTAATTGTTATCTAGGTCATTCGGTTTACGAGAAGAATATGCAGAGATGATACAATTGTGCCGCAATTGTCGTTGTTTATTTTGGAGATCACTGGGCCATCCCTGTATCGCAGATCAGGATCCAGCATTTCAAGAGAAGTTAGCTGATGTAGATCAAGCTTCTCTTCATGTTCCAATCCCTCCTCAAACTTTCCTAAAGTTTTTTTCACTGTGAAGGCCTTTTGTTAAGTGTCTTGTAAACAGAATAATTAGATATACAGCTGCATATGTGCGCATATGTGTATAGTATGTCTGTGAATAAGTTAAAAAAAAACGTGAATGAGAAAAACAGAAAAGAAAGAAAATATAGATCATAGGGAAAAGGAAAGATATGTAACAGATGTGATCGAAAAACAAATACTTCGAAATTATATGTAAATGATATATCTAGCAAAAAAAAAAGATATTTAAAAATTCTATTATACATAGAGATCTTATCATCAATAAGTTATATTCAGTATATTATGATTGCATATCTGAGAAGTTTTTAGTCTAAAGTGAAACTTCAGACGTGCGAAATTCTTAGAATGCTTCCTTCCCTTAAAAGTTATAATGGCAACTACTTCCCAAATTGCAAAGTATATTTCTGTAATTTTTAAAATTATAATAGTTATATTGACTATAATAATAATGGATGATAATTGCTAGTCGTATTAAAATGTTGATTGTTAGATATATTGTATGTGTGTTCCAAAAAACACATAAAAGATATCCAACTGTAAAGATAGGCTTTCAGGATTTTTATCTTCCTTAAGAAAATCTATCTATGACTGTCTGTTCTAAGATACTGCATCATTTTTATGTAGTAAATTTATATAATTTATCATTTATGAAATCATATTGTTTTTATTCAAAAGATATCTATTATATTAACTAAAATAATCCTGCCAAGTAAATCGTAATGAATTTGTTTGAAAAAAGGATTGGTTGCAATTTAATTTTTTTTTTATTATACGCGCGCGCGTGTGTGTGCATGTGTGTGTGTATGTACGTATGTATGTGTGTGTATATTGTTTGTATTGTATTGTATTAATAGAATGTTGAAGTTCATTTTTTGTGATTTATCTTAGTTGGTACAATTTTATAAAGTTATTGCATAGCAAGCATAATCGAATTTTAAAAGCGTACCAAGCTACATTTTTATAAATATTTTAAAAATATTTAATATGTTATATAATGTAAGTCTAATATTTCGTATAAAAACAAAATTGGCATATTTGCTAAAATACCTTTAGTACTACTGAAAGCTTTTTTTTGTTACATTTAATTGATATTTTAAATATGATTGTTTTTATCTCATAATCAAAATTTATTCTATACTAGTTCTATTTTAACATCCGCAAGTATATATTAAAATTTTATGCATTTTTTTTTATACACTATATATGATAATAGTAAAGATATAACACAGAGACGTGCAAACTTTATATCAAAGAAAAAATCATTCATTACTGTTATTCGATTATTCCTATTCAAGTATGCTCACTTGATACAAATCTTTCCTTTAAGAATGATATATGATATGATAATTTAATAACAGTGATATATATTGAAGAATATGAGTATGACTATTGTGACAATTTGTTAAAGGAAAACAAAAGAAAGAGTTGGGATAAAGGGAAATTGACTATATGAAAATTTTGTACGTCTCTGATATAACATATCTTGATTCTCATAAATATTTGTTAGTTTTCTATTTATATAAAATACGTACTAACAAATAATTTAGTAAACTTCGATTTTACAATAAGCTATGTTAGAGTTACATTTTATTGGAAAGACAATTTGTAAACTGTCTTCATATGTGCATATATGCATATATGTTTTGTTATATGCATAAATATTAAATTATGACATAAAACACAATCATACACTAAGAAAATACAAACAAATCATGAAGTATCTTAATTTTTTTTTTTTTTTTTTTAAGTATAAAATACTTCAATAGAAATATGTAAATAGTGTATGAACTAACTATTGCATTCTGTATAATCGTACAAAATGAGATCCTATTTACACTGCTCCGTATACATATGTATTCATTTAGCTATAATGACGGGAAATTTTAAAAATCTGTATAAGTTATCATCAATATAAGAGTATTATAATTGATTAATCAAGGAAAAGAAAATTATACTGCCAATATGGATGCTATTGCATTTACATGAATTGAACAAATTGTTTATAAAATTTTCATTTAGAAAAAATGTTATTTTTTTAGATATTTTTTTTTCTATTCATGTAATCTTAAAATTGTTTCATGACCTACATGGTTTACTAACCTAGTCATTATAAAAAGTTCTCATTGAAATCAACCGTACTTGATTATAATATTATAATTAATTACTCTAATTTTTGGCAGCTCGTTATGAAACTCCAAAACGAATTAAAATTAGTAAATCATAATTAAGAGAAGTGATTCTATGATAATATTTATTTTATCTATATCTAAACTGATACATGTACAGCAAGATTGTACAAATTGCAAAATAAAATTTATTTAAATATGTATATGTACATACATGACGTAAAATTTATTTTGAGATATACGAAAGAGGTTTATAAAATATTTTATTTAATATTTAACATATATGTACCAATAAAACAGTTTAACATCGTACTAATTTCATTAAAATATATGATTAAGAAAAGGATACAGAAAGATTAATTTCGAAATCAATTGTGAAATAGTTATATATTATTGATTCTGAATAATTTATCTTTCCTAACAATTTTTGATAAAAAAAAAAAAATGTGATATACAAAATTATATAGAAATATAAAAAATATATGTTTGAAAAATAATTTACATCATTTGAAAAGCGCGCTTTTACAACTACGTACACATATTCTGTATTTTTATAATTTCAAATAAGTATTAACATAATAACTCTATTTACTGACTGATTCTACCTAGTAACTAATTTTGCATTTCCATGAATCAAGAAATTCTTCCGATAATTGGCCAATGATTTCTCTTGTCATTACCGAATAGAAATGTGTTATAAACTACTTATAATGATCAAATTAATATATATTTAGAAAATCATTCAAAGAAATTAAATTAGAAAAACGTATTCGTGAATAAATGCATCATAAAATAAAATGTATATAATAACAAAATTTAATGATTTATGTATACTTTATTATTTTTAAAACTCATTATTATAAGCATTAATTCAGAAATTTAACGCCATCTATGTAATAAATTCGAAACTTGATCTACGAGAAGAAACGCATGCGTATAAAGAAAAACCAGTGACGCTGTGGCCTGTTGGTAGTTGATACCGCGACACTCCGCGGTTCACGTTTGATTCGTACTTCAGATTATAATCATTTGAAGAAAACCTAAGAAAATGTCTACATTATCTCATGGCAAGAAGCGAGTCTGCTACTATTATGATAGTGAGTTGAAAATAATGAAAAATTTGTAATGTGTTTGGTGAACCCGCGAAAAGCTCATACACATATAGAGATTATCAAAATGTGTTTGTGTCGTTCGCGCTTGTATCATCACGTACACAGCATTTACATTTTTATATTAGCTTCTTATCATATATTGGTTACAATAATTAAATAAAAGTTTATAATGAGTAACAGCATCGCGTTTTATGCGTTTCGCATTGAAATTTAACCACATTATTTATATGTTTGCACGATTTTTTTATCGTTAAGCTGAAAGATTTTCAAGTCCCGCTTCATTCCACCATACTTTTCGGAGGCTAGTTGGCGTCAGCCATAACAGTACGGATTACTGTTATACACTTGAGAATCTCTCATATTTATATATATATATATACATATGATATTATTTAATGTTATTAAAATTATTTCAATTAAATCATTGAAAAAAATGACACTTGTATATATATATTATACCATACGATCGTAACTTTATCATTTTAAATGAGATATAACTTAATATGAAAATATAACATTCACAATTTATGACTTACGAAATTTAATACGATACTTTAATTTTTAAAGAAGAAAAAACGCTTTTATTTTTGACATTTTTTATCTTCTATTTACTAAGAATAAAATAGTGTTCTACAAATTTTTCATAGTTTTACGATTTCATATTGGTTAAGAAGATTATAGGTTATATGAGCTACGTAAATTCATATCAAAAAATTCACTTGACATAATTGCTAATATTTAATCAAACTATCTCATTCGTCAATTTGTATAATTGTATTCGAAAAAAATACTTTATCTAGAAATGTGTCTGTAAATATTACAAAATTTATACGCGCAAAACATGAAATCTTCAGATAAATTTCGGTGCACCGTACACAGCGTACATTAAGCAATCAACAACGAAGATTTTATTATAAAGATAACTAAATATATCCAAATAATTTGAAATATTTTTAACATATGTTTTTTCTATTTAATAAAATTTAAAGTAACATTGAAATAATTAATTTTCAGGCGATATAGGAAATTATTATTATGGTCAAGGCCATCCTATGAAACCACATCGTATAAGGATGACACATAATTTACTACTTAATTATGGTCTTTACAGAAAAATGGAAATATATGTAAGAATCTTTGCTCGTTAGTTTATTTAAGATAATTAAATTCTAAATTCAATTAAGATAAATGAATGTTAAAAAATTACAATGATTACAATGATATATTTTATGAAATGTTGTTAGATTCTAATAATTATTATAAATTCTTCATATTTTTAGAGACCACATAAAGCCACAGCTGATGAAATGACAAAATTTCATAGCGACGAGTACATAAGATTTTTGAGATCAATCAGACCAGATAATATGTCAGAATACAACAAACAAATGCAAAGATGTAAGAGTTAGATAAATTTTAGTATTTATTATGTAATATATATTATATGGATTTAAAAAAGTAACATTCAATTTTTTTTACAAATAGTTAATGTGGGTGAAGATTGCCCTGTTTTCGATGGCTTGTATGAATTCTGCCAATTGTCAGCTGGTGGTTCTGTAGCAGCTGCAGTTAAACTTAATAAACAAGCATCAGAAATCTGTATTAATTGGGGTGGTGGTTTACATCATGCTAAGAAGAGCGAAGCATCAGGTTTTTGTTATGTAAATGATATTGTACTTGGAATTTTGGAATTACTTAAATATCATCAAAGAGTTTTATATATTGATATTGATGTTCATCATGGTGATGGTGTTGAAGAAGCATTTTACACGACAGATAGAGTAATGACTGTCTCATTTCATAAATATGGTGAATATTTTCCTGGTACAGGAGATCTCAGAGATATTGGTGCTGGAAAGGTAAGAAATTAACCTAAATTAAATTAAATTAGACAGAAAAAACAACAGAAAAAACTGTCATTTAATAATATAACAAATTGTCTTTCAATTAATTGTTTTATCTTATGCATAGGGCAAATATTATGCCGTCAACATACCTTTACGAGATGGTATGGATGATGAAAGTTATGAGTCAATTTTTGTACCTATAATTTCAAAAGTCATGGAAACTTTTCAACCATCAGCAGTTGTTTTACAATGTGGAGCAGATTCCTTGACAGGTATATTTTATATTTATATTTCTAACATTTTTACACATGTATTATTGGATATTAATTCATTACATATAATAGGTGACAGACTTGGCTGTTTTAATTTAACTGTAAGAGGACATGGTAAATGTGTAGAATTCGTAAAAAAATATAATCTACCATTTTTAATGGTTGGAGGAGGTGGTTATACAATTAGAAATGTATCTAGATGTTGGACATATGAAACATCTGTTGCTCTAGGATCGGAAATTGCTAATGAACTTCCATATAATGATTATTTTGAATACTTTGGTCCTGATTTCAAGTTACATATAAGCCCCTCAAATATGGCCAATCAGAATACACCTGAGTATTTAGAAAAGATAAAGTAATTATCAAATTTTATTAATTATGCATATATTGAGTGATGAAACAACCAAAATACATATTTATTATTTTCTTTTATCATAGAACAAGACTATTCGAAAATTTAAGAATGTTACCTCATGCGCCGGGGGTTCAAGTGCAAGCAATTCCAGAGGATGGTGCTGTTATCGAAGATTCAGAAGCAGAAGAGAAAATAAATCCAGATGAAAGATTATCACAAAGGGATTTAGATAAAAGGATACAACATGAAAATGAATACAGCGATAGTGAAGAGGAGGGAGATGGTGGTAGAAGAGACAATAGATCATTCAAAGTATGTTCTGATTTCTTATTATATAATATAATGTTATTATGTAAAATAAATAATCATTATATGTTATATTATCATTACATTGAAATGTTATTTTCTAAAGACTTCTAGAAAGCGTCCGAGACTTGAAAAGGGTCAGGAAGGTATGGAAAGTGATATAAAAAAGGAAGAAGATATAAAATCCGAAGCAAAAGGTACATATCATTGTCATTAAGAGATTACGATTTTTGTTTTTTTTCCCTCTATATAGTAATCTATATATTATCTAATAAATATCATTTTATATTTAGAGAACGATAAAGACGAAAAAATGAATGCCACGAATGAGGAGACGAAAAAAGATGGTGGTGCGAATCCCTGATAAATAATAGCATCTACTCGTCGGAAATATTGCAGAGGTCTTTATTTAAATCAAGTCTAAATAAGCTTAGGTAACTTAAGTGCAAGGAGCACGTGGTGTACAGATATTCGTTACCTTAAGATCATCCCATAATCCAAAGTCATTTGTTTTCTTCATATTTTATATAATAGAAAAGAGAAGAATACTTTAATATGATAATTTGATTATATCCGTTTGTGAAGTATAATAACGATATTGAGATATACACGTACAAGCGTGATCTTAACGCTTTGTATTTTTAATTATTATTAAAATTTATATATCTTTTTTTCATACACATAGTGAAAAATTTTTTGAGGAAGAAAGTTGAAGAGGGGGACAGGGAAGGGGTTGGGGAATATGACTAAAGATAATTTAATATTTATAGTGATTTGAATTTTTAAAAATATTACGGATATTAAATAATTCCTTCAGGCATAATCAATAATGAGAATGAGATCACAAAGTTATTGATAACAAGATAACAGTCAATTCTACATATGCCCAGATTTATATCCTAGAAATATAATATATCAATTTAAAAATATTCTATGATCGAATTGATTGTATCTTATCCATTTCTAAGGATATAATTTAGATTGAACTATATGACAAGCTAACGCGCAATTTAATATAGACGCATTAGCTAGATTAGTTAATGCAAAGGATCATGGGATATTAAATTTTTTTTGCTTCCTCCTATTCTTGTACATAATATAATGCTAATATTAAAAAATGAAGTTCTACACGCAATAATAATATTAATAATTATTATTATAATTATCATAATGACAAACAAAAGAAAAACAAATGAAAGGAATCGCATTCATTTTGGTATGTAAAATATATTATTTTGTTTGTGAGATATGAAGTCATTGGTAAAGAGCGAAAAGCAAAGCCAGATTAGAATTATCAGATGACAGATTTCAAATGTAGGTATAGGATATAAGAATATTAAGTAAGCGAAAGTAATTTGTAAGAGTTCAAATTTGTCAGTATGACTAGACCTACTTTTATTCGATGTTAGTGGATGTTAAATCGCTCTCGTGAGAAGGAGAATATAAAATATAAATGATAAAACTGCCTCTGGTAGGCTAATATTAACTAATATTAAAATGATTATTATATTCGAAATCTACAACCATCCGTTTACAAAGTTTTCATCTTTCTTGTAAGAGCGAACGTCCATTGCTAACCAATGTGTACAGAAATCTACTTTTTCCACCGCATAGATCGGACCAGCGCGCGACTATGAATGATCGGTCCCAAAAAAAAAAAAAGATGTTCATTTACTTAGTTAAAATTAATTATCCATCACACAAAGATACAAATTCAATGTAATGATAATATACTTATGCCGGATTGAGATAGATGAAGTAATGATATATTTATGCCCAAATATTAAATACACACGGATGTTTTTAAATATTTATAATAAAAGAATAAAGAAATTTATACGTGAATATAATTATTCTCTTCGTCATCAGAATTCAATGATTCTTATGATTTCTGATTCAAGAGTACCACTCTGAATGTGGCGTGTGAATATGTTTGTTTATCAAAATGGTGACATTTCCAAGGTGTCGACGAACTTCTTCATCATTTTATAAAGTATGCATAGTAAAGGATGATCTTTATCAAAAACGTGACGTACATTTTGTACGTATAATTTTATTTCTTTTAGCATGATAAAAGTTTCTATAACCAGCCTCTCTTATCCAATAGTCCATAATATAATACGGCTGAAGTTCCATATTTCTAACCTCATCGTTAAAACAATAATTTTATTATTGGCGAATAATTATATGTAAGATCAAAAGAGATATATATATATAAAGGACAATTATTTATTATGGAAAGAGAATATTTTTAAGATTAATAAAAAGAAAAGAAGTATTAAAATTATTACGAAACTTGTACAAAATTTGAAAAGCATAATACAGAAGAACATTTATGAAAGAAATAATTATTTCCAGAGAATAAATGCTTAAAGATTTTTGATTAATTTTGCAACGTATATTTATTATTATTCAAAATGATGGCCCATTTATCTCATGTTATGACACTTGCCAATAGCATCATTGGTGTGAGTGTTCTTGCAATGCCATTCTGTTTCAAACAATGTGGTATTATTTTGGCTGCCTTAGTTCTTTTACTATCGAATCTTCTATCTCGTCTTGCTTGTCATTTTCTTATAAAATCAGCAGTAATGTCAAGACGACGTAATTTCGAACTCCTTGCTTTCCACGCATTTGGCCATATGGGAAAGTTTTTAGTAGAACTTTTTATAATCGGATTCCTTGTGGGTACATGCATTGCATTTTTCGTCGTTGTTGGTGATTTGGGACCACAAATTGTTGGGAAAATAATAGATAAGAGACCTGAAGATATCAGAACTAGTCTACTTATAATAACAAGTATTTTTATAATATTACCATTGGGTCTACTTCGAAATATTGACAGTCTATCAAGTATTTGTACTGCTACCATTGTTTTCTATGTTTGCCTTATTTTAAAGGTAAGAATATTAAGTATTACAAATGTATTATATATTATTGACTTCGTTTACTTTATCACAAGATTTATAATGTTCCTTATATTTATTAATAGGTAATAGCAGAATCAACACAACACATTTTTGCAAGAGATTGGACGAGTAGTGTGTATTATTGGAGACCTGGTGGTATCCTTCAATGTTTGCCAATTTTTTCTATGGCTCTTTTTTGCCAAACACAGTTATTTGAAATATATGAAACAATTCCAAATGTATCACTTGAAAAGATGAATGAGGTCGTACGTGGTGCATTAAATATTTGTACTCTTGTATATTTATGTGTTGGTTTCTTTGGTTACATTGCATTCTGTACACAATCCTTCACAGGTATGCTTTTATTGTATAGAGATTAATAACAAGAATATGAATTATTTATAACAAAAGAAATTTTTTGGTACTTAGGAAATATACTGATGAGCTTTGAACCAAGTTTATCATCGGAAATGATAAAGATGGGATTTTTTTTCTCTGTAGCCTTTAGTTTTCCACTAGTCATTTTTCCTTGCCGTGCAAGTCTGAATTCTCTCTTATTTCGTCGGGTACGTATATAATACAATGAATTGAAACGATACAATGAATTTATCGAATATAGATATTACTATTAAAACTTTTAGGTATATACTCATGAACCATCTATGAATTATATGCCGGAAGCAAGATTTAGATGTCTTACAATTGCAATAGTATTTTTTTCCTCAATTACTGGTATATTGATGCCAAATATTGAGTTTGTACTTGGTTTAGTTGGATCTACAATTGGCGTAATGATATGCCTAATGTTTCCTGCAGCATTTTTCATATCCATAAGCAGTAAACACACAAATGAAAGATTGTTAGCACAGGTATAAATTATAACACAAAAACTATATCGATCATCATGTTTATCATAAATATTATTTTAATTATGAATTATTTTTTATTCAAGGTCATTATATTTGTTGGTATTTGGATAATGATCCTTGGTACATATGCCAATTTGTATGCAATGGAAGAATCTTCTAATACCAGAATTTTAATAACTACTGCTAAACCTCTTAGTCAAATAGATAATTTACCATTAAATTTAAATAAGGAAAATATTCATATGATACCTGATGTTTCTAATAATCCTGAAATTCTATCAAATGTTAAAGGTATGCTAAATGTATAAAATAACTATATTGTATATATAACAATTTATACTTCGTTTTTAATTGTAGAAAAAATAGATGGATTACCAGAAATTAAAATAATGGATGAAAATAAACATCTTGATGATATTCGTCAAGAACCTCCAGTTCCAGTTGAACGTATCATTGTTACAGAAAAGCCAGTGATAGAAAAACAAAATTCTGTTGAAAATATAGCAGCTAGTTTTGCTCCAGAAATTAAAAAAATTGTTGAAAAGATTAAAACAATGAAAGACGACTTAAACAAAGAGCCTAATTCTGTTATAAATAATAATAAAATGATAGAACATGTGGACTCTGTAACGTTAAAGGCTAGTGAAAATATTAAAGTAATCAAATCTAAAGAAGAAACTAATGAAATGTCAAAAAATGACAATCTCATAAATTCAGATGCAATAAAAAAAGAAAATTCAGAAATAGCTTCAGAAGGAGAAATTACTAATATGGTAACGGTAGAAAGACATGAAAAGCTTAGAAAAACTTTAGAAAAGCATGCATTGGAAAGGCTGCAAATGTTACAAGAACAAACAAAACTTTTGAAAGATATTAAAGAACAAAAGCGTGAATTTGAAAGAGAAAAAGAGAGAATAGGAAAAAATATAGAAGAGTCCATACAAAATGGTAGTAAGGACAACAATAACAATGAAGTAAATATTATACAAAAATCTAATATGAAAGAAGTTGAAAATATTAATAAACAAATAAGTAAAAGTCTTGTTAAAAATGAAACTCAGAATAAATATGTAACAGAAACAAATATCGATAAAAGTGTTTTAAAAACGCCAAATATTCGAAACATAAATATAGAAATTGCACATGAGAAAAATGATTCTGAACAATTCGTTGATACAAAGGATAACAATAATATTCAAAATATGCAGAAGATGAAGTTAAAAGAAGACAAGCATATAGACCAAACACATTCGATATCAAATTATCAAGAAAAGATTAATGTAACATTTGATAATATTTCAGATAAATCTAAAGGAACTATTTTAAGTGCTTTAACTAAAGGAATTTTAATAAAATCTACATCAAAGGATACTTTGCTTAAGAAAAAAGATATACGAACGTCACAGGGTAAAGAAGAAAGTATCATCAATGAAATTAATAAGTCTGACGAAACAGTAATCCGAAATCAGAATACCGTGCCTATTATATTACAGCTTAAAAATCAAACTAACGTTAACAAATCTGAACAGTTAACAAACAGAAGTGACAATGATGTTCAAGTAATGCGAAGAGATATTTTAGAAAATCATAATAGAGAGAAACGAGAAGTCACTAACATAAATGTACTAAAAACTGAAGTTTCTCCTGATGTTTCAACTGAAGAAATAAAATCTTTTATGAAAGATGTTTCTATGGATATTGATCGTAAAAAATGTTCTAAAACGTTAGAAAATTCACAAATAGAAATAGCAAATAAGCCAGGAAAAGAATTGAAACAAAAATTACCAGAAATGGCATCTATTCCAACTGCTTCAACATTGATTAAAACTAATGTTTATTTATCAGAGAAAGAACAAGAATTAACAAATTCCATTTTAGTAGACCCAAGTATAACCATAAAAGGTAAATACATTAAATTAAAGCAAAGAGATTTGAAAGCTTTGAATACTGATTATATTAGAAACTTATGACCATTAGAATGCATTCTTTATAATAATCAATGTCTAACAGAGTAAATTTCTAAATTATCAAAATATATTTTCTGGCTATTTCTGAATATTCAGCTACATTATTGAAAACATAACAATATTGTAAAATATTGAATAAGCTGGAAATTAGTATGAACATAGATGTAATTTAAATAATATTGTCAATGTGTGGTGTCAAATTTAAATAAGATTATTATTAATTATATAAGATGATAAGTATAGTTTTGTAATTCTATTATAAGTAACTTAAAAAAGAAAAAGTTGAATTTTTTGTGTTAATGTAAATGATTATTATTTATTTCTTTGTTTTCTTTATAAAATTTTACAAAATAATGATATTCATGGAGTCATTTATATATTTAAGCTTAGAATTTAAGAAATTGCTGCGATAATGAAATATATCATAAATCCAATGAGAATTTTAACAATCAGTAAATTCAGTTTAGAATTTATGTTTTTTATACTATATGAGATAATGTATAGAAAACAGTACAATTAAGTGCTTGAAACTAGCCAAATATAAATCTATTTTTACATAACAATAATATCGATTATTTCACTCGTAAATTGACCTGGACAAAGCTCCGTTCAAACGAACTTTTTTTTTTCCTATCACGTATAAAACAATTTCCTACGTGTTTATCAAAAACAAAACAGTAAATACGTAGAGAAAAAAAAAGGAAGGTCGTGGACGTTATTACTTCGATAAAAAAAAATGTTTACTATCAAGAAAAATTTTTTGCTGCGTTAAGAACAGTATTTCTTTAATTTTCGTTTACCGTAGTGAAAGAAGGTCAAGAGGAAAGGAGAAAGTACTAATCTTTTCTTTTTCGAGATTCTTTCATCATCAGTGAACACAAAATTAACTTTCTTCAAATTCGAACGTTTATTAATCATAACGGTCTGTATCGTTTACCCAGTTAAGGATAAGATTCTTCTATTTTCTTCTTTCCTCTTTTCACCATTTCTTTCTTTTTTTGTAAAAAAGGGTAGCTCGATGTGAAAGTTTTGCCGACAGATGCCCTCGTTGTCAATTCAGTGAGCGATCGTCTTGTTCGTGTGTGCTTTGATGTAACATGGCTACAAGCAATACGGAAGAAATCAAGGTATTTACAGAAAAAATAACCGTATCGTGACATAAATAAAAGTGCCAAAGCGATAGACCATCCGAAAAAGATACATTTTTCAAATAATTTCGAAATAATAATCCGATTTCGAAGTAGCAGCATGGTCGCTTCATAGGTTCATTCTTACCCCTCCTTCACCGTGTGCGCCTACATCTGTTCCTCTGATGTATTACCAAAACTGTTTATGCAGCTTAAAAAATCTAAATTATTCTTTCTCTCTTTCCTCTTTCTCTATTACGTTTTTATTAACAACATGATAATGATGTTTACTTAAAGTGAACGTCGATCTTTTCATAAAGTGTTTATATGCCAAAAGGTGCTCGACGTTACGTGAACGCCTACACTCGTGGTACGAGGATAATAGGGATAACATTTTCTAGGTTAAACGATTTTCATTCTAATGATTTCTCTTCCTCTTTCACAAAAAGAACTTTCTAGAATAATAAGTTCTGTGAAAAGTACTGAATCCGTACTGATATCTAGTGAAAATATGTATTAAAATTTCATTTATAGGAGATCGAAAGGAAGGAGCAAGGGATAATAAATTTTGATGAATTTCCACCAGAAGTTTTGATCAAGCATCCTTTACAACATACCTGGACACTTTGGTATTATGAACCGGACAAAAGTAAAACATGGGAGGAAAGCCAACGTGAGATAACTAGTTTTGATACAGCAGAAGATTTTTGGAGGTAAATTTTATTATATAAGCTTTGAAAAAATATATAATCAAAAATTATCTAACATTGTAATAACAATGAAATTATTTTTCTTAACAGTCTGTACAATCACATAAAGCCTGCATCCGAGTTAAGACAAGGTTGCGATTATAGTATGTTTAAACAAGGAATCCGACCTATGTGGGAAGATGATGCAAACAAATTAGGTGGAAGGTGGCTAATAAATTTAGATAAGAAGCAAAGAGCTATGGATTTAGATCATTTTTGGTTAGAAATTCTTCTGTGCATGATCGGAGAAGCATTTAATGAATATTCAGATGATGTATGTGGTGCTGTTGTAAACGTAAGGCTAAAAGGAGATAAACTTGGTATATGGACAGCTAATGCCAATAGCGAAGATAGCGTTATGGAAATAGGGTAAGCTTTTATTCCTTTTTATCTATAATTATTTTCTATTAGCATTACATTGATATTATCTTTCATTTTAGACGTAAATTAAAAGAAAGATTAAGGATTACACCCAAAATAACTATAGGATATCAAGTACATCAAGATACTATGATTAAGAAAGGAAGTCAAACAAAAAATACTTACACGGTCTAAGTACAGCAAGAATTCTTGATTTCATAAAAATTTCATTGTTACATAGATCATTGAATAACAGGTATCAAACAACTGATGGACAAATTTTCATTGATATCGATAAGAATATCAATATATAATTCATTGATTCGTTTGTTTAAAGCTGAGAAAATATATATATATATATACACATATATATATATATATTTTTTTTTTTTTTGTTTAAATCTTAACTTCGTTTCCCCCAATAAGCGATTGAGCGAAAGTTAATAAATGGATATTAAATAAAACAGATTAATATTACATTAATATAAAAACGTACATTAATGTATAATACATAGAAGTAGTTTATGAAAGATACGCGCAGGCTGCTGTATTTTTCTACTTTTGACATATATATGTTATGTATTTACAATTTCACACATTTATCACTTAAATACATAATTTCCTATTGCATGAAATAAAGCTCATTTCTATTATTATTTCAAAAAATATTATGGATTTTATTGTTCTTTTTTTTCCCCTATGTATGCATATTGAATAGTTTATTAAATTCAACATTTTTTAATTAGAGTAGTAATGATTAATAAAATGCAGCATCTTGCTTTATTCTTCTAAAATGTATTAAAGATGTGTGATGTTTACACAATTGTTTGACATACAATTATATTTAAGTCTTTCTTATATAAAGTATATTTAAAAAAAATATATATATTGCTATATGCATTTCTTAGTCACTTTAATCCCACTCCTTTTCACAAAAAATAACTTTATATATTATATATTACATTTACACAAACACTATTTTACAGTATTTTAGATTTTTTTATCCAATAAGATTTTTTCAACGACTTCTTTAATATCTTTACGTCTCTCTTTTTCTAGCGCATGTAATAAATTTATTTTCCAGTCTGAATTATTCTGCGAAATACAAATATCCAATGCCTGAAAAATATTTAACTGTGTAAATATAAAAATACATAATTTATATACAATTATATTAATGCTATTAATAAATACAATAATATTATATTTTTTATATCAAATTATATCTAAGGATATATTACCTGATAACTCTGTTTTTTTAAATTAGACGAATTTTTCTTTTCTATTTCATTAATTTCATTTTCCTTAAGACCTAAACGTCTGCAAACATGTTTCCATGAACGTCCTATTTGTTCATTCACTTTCAGTAACACTTAAAAAACATTTAAATCAATTTAGAATATTTCATACTAATTTAATTTTGCTAATCCTGTTTAAAAAAGTTATATCAGAAATTATATTACATATAAATAATTACCCATTTGCTTCAACTCTGATTCCCGGTTATATGAAGTTTTGGAAAACTGCTCTGGTACTTCACTTAATAGTGATTCATACCTGAGCTCTTCTAATGGATTTCGCCATCTTATTTGATCAAATGTTTCTTCATCTTGATTTATCAATAGAGATTGTATTGTAAAAAAGAATAATATTTTATTAACATATTGATTGCCATGTTGGTCATCTATGACCAAATATTGTTTCTCAATAGGACCATGGTGGTCATCAGTGACCAAAGTGTTTCAAATGTTTTAATTATTTTGTTATTATGTACTTAGAATAATGAAAATTCTCTTATAGTCACTGAGAACATCATAGCCCTTGTGTTAATATAAAAAATAAATATAAAATAAAATAAAATAAAATATAAAATATGAATATGTTAATATAATGTGTTTATAAAATATAAAAATGTGTTAATATAAAATATAATAAAGCTGCTAAAAATACAAATATTTACCATTATCACTTTGATACATATTATAATTTGGAGGAAAATACTTTGATAAAATTGCTTGATTATAATTACTTTCGTATTTCTCTAATCTTATTAATAAATTGGATTTTTTAACGTATATCTTATTGATAAAATACAACTGTTTTATATTGTCGTAAGAAATAATGGTATACTTCTCTAATAATTTAATTAATTCTTCGAACTCTTTTATACCACTTATTTTTCGTTTAGAGTTTATCTGATAATAGTATTCACTTTTAATTTCTTCCAAAGCGTTATTATCTATATAAGGCTTTGAAATGTTTAAAAAGTCATTGAGTAAATCTTTAAATTCTTTTTGCATTGTCATGGTCATCGTTTTATAAATATTTTAGGAATCCCCTTTTAACGTCAGATTGTTCTAGTTCCAAGCTAGGATTATTTTTCTTTTCACAGTAACAAGAATTTCTAGGAAATTAATAGAAATTAATGGAAAGTAGTGCGTTAGAAAATCTTTTCGTTTTTTACAAAGAAATTCAAATACAAATCTTTTATATATATATATATATATATATATATATATATATAACTTGTTATATTTTATATGCTATATATCATATATTATATGCTCTTTTGTACATAATCAATATGTTGACTGTTCATTATACCATTCTCAAAAGATTGTTCACTTTTATTATCGAAAAATTTCTTTAGTATGTATTTATGATAAGTATTCCTTTAGTTAATTTTGTAAAGATTGGAGTGATATATAATTGGTTGGTACAATATCCGATAAGTATAACGGGTATTCTATTAAATCTGTAAAAATGTTTCATAAGTTGCTAAAAATACAAGCAAGATATATTATTTTAATGAAAAATGACTATCTTTGTATTTAATGGGTACAATCGTGAACTATACATTCTTGTGAATTTTATTTATTCAAATTAATCGAAAAAATATTCGATCGATCAAATTTTGTTCTATCAATTCATATGGCACATATCATATCATATAATTCACGTAGTTTAATTTATATAAATAATGTTAAAATATTCGATTTAAATAACTTCAATACTTTAACAATAACTGGAAATTTTTAATACGGATTATTTTTGATCAAGGCTTTTATTCGATCATCATTGATTATATTAAACTTACTCAAAATGTGGAGTTATTTTTGACAAAGAAATTCCCACTGGACTACAATTAGCTAATACGATTATTTACAATATCTTTATTAGAAATTACATATATTTATATATTTTTTTTCTTTTTTTTTTTATATATGCACAAAGTTTTTAAATTTTCGATAATGTAAAATGTAAATTTTCGATAAATACGGCAAAATGTATTTTTCTATCAAATATATTTTTAATCTTTTATATCAATTGATAAAATTCCACTGATCTTGACATTTGACTTTTTTTTTTTATAAAATGAATAAAAAATGTAAGCTTTTAAGGTTATGTACGCATTTAAAAAAAAAGCACTATACGTCAAGCGATATTAATTCTCGACAAAATAAAGAATACTTTTTGGTCGATTCAATAAATCAATGACTCAATACAGGACCAAACGAATTCTATGAATGAGTTTTTTTTATTTTTAGATAAATTTTGATTTAACTAACAGTCATGCACACTTTCCATATATTAAACACTAATGTTTTGACCAATCACATTGCTCGATTAATACGTCATAACGATATAAAATGTCAATGATGTTCGAAAAATTTAATATATTGGAATTCAACTATTATGATACTTATGGATAGCCAATCTCTTTGCAAAGTTATCTGATATCACAATAAACGAAGTAGTCTATTAAATATTGAATGTATAAATTTATATTAACCCAAAGATAATGTAATGAGAAATTTATTTATTCAATAATAATTGATAAATTTATTCTTAAAATTTACAAAATATTTCTTAAATATTTCGGATAATTCATTTCTATAATTTATGCCGCAGCAAATGAAATTAAACTCATGATAGTAACGTTGTCGCGACAATTCTGGATCATAGAGCATTTTGTGTTTTACATAGTTTCTATGTACCGTTAAGATTTACGGTTACTATTACGGATAATTTGTGTGGCCAATGCTAAATTTTAGAAAAACTATTTGAAACTTTTTTTCATATTGTTCCTAAATATATAGCTACATTACTAAACTTTGAAAAAGTTTCTAGGCAATAATCAATTATATAAAGTGCACATCATTTTTTCTTTAATTTATTAAAAATGTTAAGATAGTATTTTATGTTAATTAATTTTCTTCGAATAATTTTTATTAAATAAATCGCATGATAAAATTTTTTTTTAGATTTTCTTCTTTAGGCCTTATTATTATTATGGTCTTGAGCTTTGAATGATGCTCTTTTAGAATTCTTTTCATAATACAATCTTAAATATTTCTTTTAATAAAACTTTTACTATAATCTAAATTATGGAATTTAATGTGTGAAATTTTGATATATCCAAGGACACAATCATGAATACAGTCATGATTTCACAATAATTATTAAGGATATTAAATTATATAGAAATGTATATTTTGTATTCATTTTCAACAGCAGTCGTATTCTTAAAAATTCTATACTTATATATGTGAATAGCTACATAAGAAAAAAAGATTTATTAGGACAGATCAAAAAACCAAAAAAGTTAAGGTCAAATTTTTGCATAAATCAAAAAATTACAAAAAATATATAAATTTTCGTGAATTGTATATTTTTTTTTTATTTTTAATTAAGACATATATTATTATAGTATGGATGAAAAAAAATATATATATATTTAATTTACATCACACACATCTGTTTTGTACTTATCAATTATATATATATATATATGTAACATATATTTACATTTATAATTCTGTGAAAATATTTATTTTCTTTTGAATCAAAATTATGGAAACTTTAAAATAAAAATAAATTTATTATGATAAATTTTTTATTTTACAGTATAGAAAAATACTTAGTCTCTATGTTTCTAATCTTTTCCTTTCCTCTGCTTTTCTTAAATTATTTAAAACAAAAGCTTCGTAAGCTTCGAAATCTTCATCTGACATTTTCTTTTCTACATTAGATATAGTTTGAGATTTATTATAAAAAGTTTCTCTTGGAAAACTTGATATGTGTTCTTTCTCCCATAGTCCTTCGAGGGTAAGTGGATTCCTCGCAAAGCCAAATTCTATTCGTACTGCTCTTTGCTAATAACATTAATTATATTAATTAATATAATATAATATTTCTTAATAATCAATTAATATCAAATATGTTATACTTACTGCAGATTCCTTATCTTTATATTCAACCATAGCTCTGCCATTTTTTACACTTGATAAAACAAGTGCAACAATGTCACCGTGCTAAATAAATATAATTTTATATATTACATAGAATATAAATTAGAAGTTTTCTTATGTATCCTTTTTTTAATACAAGTAAAAAAATAATATAAATACCTTATACAAAATACGATATAATGTGTCATAATTGTATCCTCCATTTTGTGAATCATCACTATTTGCTTTCCATTTAATTCTTACTCTGTAATTTGCATTTGTTTCTGGCTTTTCCTGTCGTAAATTATGTAGTTCCCAAATTTCTTTTCTCATACGGGTTATTTCTTCTTCTAATAGTTTTGAACCTTCTTTTTGTAATCGATCTATTTCAGCCTAAAATATTTAAAAATATGAAATGTTAATAATAATACATAAGTAAAATCTTTCAAGATTTTCTATATCAAATGTACCAGTAATTTTTCTTCTTCAGTTAAAGAACGTTTATTACTTGATGCATTCTTATATGCCTCTTCTCTTGCTTCTAAATCTTCTTTAAACTTTTTTCGTTTAGCACTAAGTTCTTTAGTACGGAGCTTGGATTGATGTTTAGCAATAAGTACTTTTTCATAAGCATCCTATTTTAAAAAATTAATAATTGTTGAAGTAATATGTACTTTTCAAAAAAGCTAAGAGTATATCGCAATAAGGTAATTACTTACTCGTGCAGATAAATCTGTTAAAACTTCTAATGCTTTTGAAATTTCATGGAATAATTCTGTAGCGCGTGGGTTATCAGGATGTTTATCTGGATGGCATAATAAAGCTTTTTTACGATAAGCTTTCTTTACCTGTAATTATAAAATATGATAAATAAATAATATTATATAAATTTTTCATTATAGTATTATAAAAAAAAAATAATAATTTTAACATTTCTCCAGAAATTAAATAAATTCTTAGATAAAAACGTATATTGGAATAGGTTAAGTCATTCGAAGTAAACTATTAAATGAATAAACAATATTCCTTATAAAAGCTTTCATGTTAAAAATTATTGTATTATATATATACCTCCTCTACTGTCGCTGTTGGAGTGCAATCAAGGATATGTAATGATTTTTCGTAAACATCCATATTGACACTTATGTATTAAACTTTGATAGAACTACACTGCTTAAATTGGTTCCATTTTAGATGTATTCCTACTAAACCGATAGATGTCTATAGCATCGCTGCGAATTTATGTTAGTGTGATCTTAAAACGTGATACGTCGATATCCAATCAGAATTTACTAAAAGGGCGGGAATCAGTACGAATATTGTAATTACTATGGACCATTTGTAGAATTCTATTTTTTTATAAAAAATTAATATAGAATTTGTAAAAAATGCAGAATAAAAAATAAGAAATGCAATATAAATAGAAAACATTCTTCGAATAAAAATAAGTTTTATAATATTATAAAATATTTACATAGATAAAACAAAACTTTCAAAATGTGTAGAGCATATGCGAATAAAAAAATTTTGTAGAATAAAATATCAAATAAAAAGTCTTTTGTGCTGTTTATTGAGTTGTATGAAAAAAAAATTTACTTTGCAAATTAAAAGAGCACAAAAAACATTTAACAAGAACTGTTATTTTAATATTAAACTTGTCAAATATTTATATATAATTTTTAAATTTACTTGCATACATAGTAGTTAATTGTACAGATTTTTATATATATATTATATAGAATGTTTTATAAAATTAAGTTTTTATTAATATTGTTATTATATTCATTAGAACCTACTTCAATGAATGATGTTCCTGAACAATTCTGTTTTCAAGAATCGATATATTAGAAATTGTTAAAAAGTTACAATCTAAGAGATATAAGTAGATAGAAAATATAAGATTATAGGAACACTTTAGAGATGATATTTTTTATGTTAAACTTTTACCATTTTAGAAACATGTATTTCTGTTTAGAAACATGTTCGTTTGTTCTATAGCCTTAGAAATTATGGAACAAATAATAAAAACTTACACACATAACTCTGAAATTAACAATCAAGAAGATGTAAGTCTTATTACTGAATTCTTATTACTGAAATTATTGAAGCTATTAACTCCCAAAAAAAAAAAAAAAAAAAAAAGAAAACTTATGGAAATTTTATTTTAAAATATATTCTGTTTAATTAAATTTATTATTAATCTAGCCATTTTTTATTTTTCTTAATTTATATAGTTATAGCAGATATTGAAAAAAAAAAGAATAAAAAAAAAATAAATGAATACCAGGAAAGGAGAAAAGAGAAATTAGCTATAAGAAAAATATGATAAGCAATTTGGATATTGCATTTTATTAGCTATAAATTAATAAGTTTGAGAGTACTTACGCAAAACAAAATAATAATAATTGTATTAATTCGAACTAAAAAAGAACAATAATTTAAGATTTATATCAATATTGTTTATATAAATAAATGTACATAATACTTATTTTTAATATATATTTAAATATTGTATTATTATAAATTTATTTCTTTTTTATATTGTTCACATTGCTATTGTTCACAAGATTGAAATGAAATATTAGATTTATTAATTTTTGAAACGTAAAAGCGCTTTGATCGAATCAACATCAGAGACTACGGAGACTTAAGATACTGAGTATCTTAAATATATAGTTTATGGTTCAGATCTATTATATTATTTCGTATACATTGATTTATACTTTATTATTAACACTTTAGAAAAATTGCTATTTTTAAAATGGGTAAGTTTACAAACAATGTAACGTAATAAAAGAATTAATATTTCATTTTTATTAATAATAATAAAATAAATATTTCTTTGATCACTTGTGAAATTAGGTTAAGAAATGTGAATATACAAAGTAACTTGGTTTATTATGATTGATTATTTTATTGACAGTAAATTTCTTAAAAGTAGATCACATAAACTAATGGATATAATGCTTTTCATATGTTTCTATATTTAAAAAAAGAAAAAAAAAAAATATAACATTCTAAATATAATAATAACAGATTCAGGTGAAGTGTCTCCCCAAAAGAAGCATAAAAAACATAAACACAAAAAACATAAAAAGAGAAAGATAATACACGATGATAGCGATGGTTTTACTGCTGAAGCTCCAGAAGGTGAAAGAAAAAAAACATTTAAAGTTAAAGTGAAGAAAGAAGATGAAAGAAGGTATATGACAGATAATTTTTATCTATATTAAGTTTCATAAAACCAACTTCAAATATTAAGGAATATGAAATTAATGATCTCGTTAATATACAGTATAGAAAAGGTTCGTGAAAAATCTACCAAGATAACCAATTTAAGTTCAGCAGGATGTGTAGCTACATCTTCTTCAAAAGTTACAACAAAAAAAAAGATACCAAAGAGTAATAGAGGAAAAGACAGTGGTACCAGTAGCGAAGAAGAAAGATGGCTGGATGCCATCGAATCTGGAAAGCTTGAAGAGGTAGGCATGAATATAAATATAATTATATTTATTTTCAATATTGTATTAAATGAAATGCTTATGAAAATATTGAATTCTTTATTATATAGGTAGATGATGAATTGAAAAAGATTAAACCAAAAGATCCAAAATTAATGACTGCACGACAAAGGGCAATGTTTGAAAGAAAAACAGATACAGAACCAAATCCAGGAGTAGAACGACTTATGTCATTACCAACGGGATACAAAGAAAAGGTTATGACAGCAGAAGCAATTCAAAAAGCTGCTCTTAAGTCTTTGAAAAGAAAACAACTTGCTGATGAGAAAAGGGAAAAAGATAAAGTAAAGATAACTTTTGATCAATTTATAATTTTTCACATATTTATGATTACAAAATAGTTAATTCTGATTTGGTTTTCGTCATAGAAAAAAACGATGGAAAGATTATTAAAAAAACAGGAGTCAAAAGCATCCAAAATAATTGGTAAAGGTAAACCATCTAAGAGACAAGTTCCACTTGTTACTTATCGTATGACAACAGGAGGAAGTTCAATATCTTTACCTCCGGGAGAAGAATTTCCATTAAAACCATCAAAAGTGTAAATATAATATTTTTTTTTTAAATTATCAAATTTTTGATATATAATAAGTAATTTTGATTATGGCATAAAGATTTTATGTAGAAAAAATATATTTTTCAGGAGAGAATTACCAATACCAGTTCTGTGTGGTGTAAATAAGTGTAAAAATCCAAAGAGATATTCTTGCTCTAAAACAGGTGTTCCTTTGTGCAGTTTAGAATGTTATAAAACGAATATGTTATTAAAAGTATGATCGTAAATGTAAATTGATGTTAGGAATGTGTACAAATATTAGAAATATGAACAATTTAAGAGTAAATTTGTATAAAGCTATATGCTAGCATATTATTTTTTATGCGTTATAAAATAAATTAAAATAAATTTTAATTTTATTTATTTATAAATATTTGTTTCAAGCCATCATTCTTATATGATAAAAAAAAAAAAAGGAAATTATAACTCTTTATTAATATAATATTTTTATACATTTGAACAATTTATTTTCTTTCTAAGGAAAAAAGACATGATTATAAAAAATTACTGTATTTCTTATTCCTTTATAAATTATCGGCTATTTTATTGATATAATCAATTTGATATAAATAGTTTGAAACATGGGAAATATATATATATATATTTATATACACAATTAAATTGAAATACAAGTTTATATATAATACATAGAATAATTGTTTCAATATTTGTAAATTATTTATATAAAATTATTATATATATAATATATATAAAATCTTGTAAATTTTCATCGAGGTTACATGTAATTTACATAACCTTGTCCTCACTTCTTACAGTGGATATATTTCAAGAAATCGTACGATTTTCACAATGGTATATCATTGGGACTTTGAGTATTTGATTTAAATTTTGATCTAATCTTTTTATTCAAATATCATTATTTTTACCAGGGCTATTTTAAAACTAGGAAATATCGTTCTCATCGATGAAGATTTCAAAGTGAACTATATCATACAAATATACAAATATTATTCTTAAATAAAAATTCGATGAAAATCGTATCATATGTTTTACGTATTTTTCGAAAATATTACAACGAGTGTAATTAGAATAATAATATTATTATTGGTTATTCTTCTATACGTAGTGTTTATTTTGTTTACCTTGATAAATCAATAACGTATATTCCGTTTTTTTGCAAAATATGTTACGTTGCGATAATACGTAGTCCAATGTACGTTATTATTTTATGCGCATAAAGAAAATGGAATCAAAAAACGAAAAAGAACTAATAAAATAAATAATAAGTATTGTCTGAGAAAAGAGAGTATTCTCGATTTTTCTACAGAACGACGATATCTCAGGGTCGTTGACAGTTCGCAGATCAAGAGATGACCCTATCCTGTAGAGGACGGTACTACTGCTGTCATCAAGGCCATCGCTGCAAGCCACTTGGAGTATTTCCACCCACACAAATCGAGTTCCTTGTATTATCGAACAGGTATCACTCTCGAGTGATTTCGTTGAAAGAAAACGCACGTTTTATATATTTTTTTTGATAAATAATAATTAAATTCGTATATATGTAATTAAAACATATATAAAAAAAAGTAAGAGCGTAGAAAAAATTATTCTTTATTTTATTTTATTTGTAATGTTGAAAAACATTGTTATTCCTTTTCTTTTTTCTTTTTTTTTTTTTTTACATTAGATTTAAATTATTAACTAATTATTTCCAACTTTTCAGCCATGTTAAAAGAATATTCATTGTCGAACTCGATTCATTTTTGTATCGATCATCGTTAATATCGGACTTGTTGCAAAAAAACAGATCGATGAAAATCGAAATATAAATGGTGGACAAGACAACCCAAACGTATTTCTTAGTATTCTTTTAACGGATAAAAATTCATCGAAAACAAAGAACTCTTCTCAAGTTGCAACGCATGAAGACAAAGAGAAAGGAAACGTTGATTATTAAATGAAGAATCGAAACGACTTGAAGGTTATTGCATGAAATCTAATTTTACATGCTTGTTATATTTTAATAATGAAATATTAACACGTGATAAATTATCATAGTACGTGTTACATCGGCAATTTTATTTTTATAAAAAGCATGATAACGAAGTTTTTATTATTTTTCCTTCAAAATTTTTATCAAATTAATTAAAACATTTCGAGCTACCATCAATATTTTTGCTTATCGAGCACCACGTACATACAAGTTATTCATCAGTTTTATGTACATATGTATGATGTATATACGTACATATTTTTTTTTCTGCATTCGTTCACATACCAATCCTCTTTGGAACTTTGAAGAAAATAAAAAGTAACGAAACATTGTCGTAACCTCATATTTATAATGGTTTCATTATTTTGAATCGAGATTATTGTTAATTATATATATATATATATATATATATATATATATATATATATATATATATATATATAATGTATAATTACTTTTAAAGCATGAAACTTTTTTGTCATTTATTCAAATTACGTCTGATTAAATGGCTCAAAATGACACATATGACATTTGTACCAAACCAATGATTTTTAATTTAAAAATAAATCTATAGAAAACAAACTAAAAATATTTAACAAAGTGTAATTCTTATAACATGTATATTATAATTAACTCTTAGTAGACTATAATATTAACATCAACAAAAATATTCGACGAAATTGAATTTTATAAAAACGTATCATTTCCGATGACATCGACGGTATATCAATACCGACGCTTCTATTCAATTACGATCTGAATGATTTCGGCGTAATTATAATTATTCTTTCATAAGAGAAATTGACTCATTGAGAACAACACGAAACTCATAAATTATGTAAAATATAACAAAAAAAAAACCGATTAGATTCTAGATAATGGTTGGCAATGCGTTAAAAGGACCAGTTAAAAATTGAAAATATTGATATATTTATTTTTGTTTTTATTTTAACCTATTTGACAAACCCTTTGTCTTTTCTTTCGACGAGCTGCGTTTTCAAGCAAAAAGTTCATTCGACGATGCATTGAGAGAAAGGACGTGATCGCTTGTGAAGTAGATAGAGAGAGAGAGAGAGAAAGAGAAAGAGAGAAAGACAGAGAGAGAGAGAGAGAGAAGGGAAGATACGCATGCGCGAAAGAAGATGCGCGTAGGATTGCGCGCGCGATGCGCCCAAGTAAAAAGGAAACAAGTGAAGAACCGGTGAGTAGAGCTCCCGCCCTCTAGTCCAGTATAATAATCAGCAAACACAATGAATCGGGTTCGCGCAGACTCGGTTGTTTTCGTCGTGTCGATGCGTTCGCGCGTCGAGATGATGCTTTCGATGTAAAAGGAAAGAATGAAAGAAGGATAGAAAATTGAGTTGAGGTGAGCAAGCGCGCCTCTCTCTCTCTCTTTCTCTCTTTTTCATTCTCTTTTTCTCTCTGTCTTTCAAGAGCTTAGCGCAAAAATCATTAAACGCGTGCCCAATTCACGGTAGCGACACCGGCACGCATATACGTACTTATGTATATACAGTGCCTAGAGTGAGAAAGAAAGTGGAGAACGATCCGATACGACAAGAGAGTAAGAGTGGGAGAATAAATAGATGAGGGTGGGGGGGGATAGATTCTCGGAGTTCAGAGCCGCGCGTTTGATCAGTTTCGAAATAATATAAACCTTCGTACCGGCGAGATTTATCATCAACGATTTATTTCGACGGAGCATGCATGAACACGAGATTTACGAGAATAATAACGAGGATAATATCGAGGACGAGGTAGAATACGATATAAACGTAAAAAAAGGAAGCAATCAAGGTAATACGCGTCTCGTTGGCATGGAATGGACCCGTGATAAAACCTTGGAACTTCTTCGAGAATATCAACATAGACGCGTACTATGGGATTGGAATGCTCGTGGATATAGAGATAGGGCTAAACGTAAACGTGCAATCCAAGAGCTCGCACAAATTTTATCTTGTAATACGTTAGAGATAGAGAAGAAAATAACTAACTTGAAGTGTCAATACTCGAGGGAAGTGCATAAAATTCAGAATAGCCGGGAAGTTGCAACCAGGCCGGACGATGTTTACGTCTCTAAGTGGTTTGGTTTTAAGGCAATGCAATTCCTTCAATTTGGTACTCGCCGGTATAGCAAGAGAAAGAAGGTGAGAAAAGATCAAAAGAAACTAAGCTTGTACTTTTTCATCTTTACATCTTGTCTTTTTTCTTTTTCTTTTTTCTTTTGTACTTTTTCTTTCGATGATCACATACACGTTATTATTATTATTATTCATTAATTTTTGGTCACGTTCGTTCCAACGTATTATTTATCTTTTCCTGAACATTCGTCAAAGTCCTTATCCTATCTTTATATCCCGTCTTTAGATCGTTTGTAGTCATTTGAAAATTTTGAATTTAGATAGTATTCACACAGCTAAGTCATACTAGTGAGTCTATCAAGTGTGTTCCGCTTATCACGTATATTGATTTCCTACGATTATTCATTATTCTGATCAACAATCTAAAATAATCTACGATACTTAAGCATCAAATATGTATCTATTAATTTTTCACGAAGAAAATCGTGTTATGTTCTAATGACAGTAATTGAATCATTCGAATATGTCAAGGGGGTGGGTAGTATGTGCGGATTCGCGTTTCGATAAGGGAAAAACAACTATTACTACTACTATTACTACTACTACTACTACTACCACTACTATTACTACTACTATTACTACTACTACTACTACTACCACTACTATTACTACTACTATTACTACTACTACTACTACTACCACTACTATTACTACTACTACTACTACTACTACCACTACTATTACTACTACTACTACTACTACTACCACTACTATTACTACTACTACTACTACTACTACCACTACTATTATTACTACTACTACTACTACTACCACTACTATTACTACTACTACTACTACTACTACCACTACTATTATTACTACTACTACTACTACTACTACTATCACTACTATTACTACTACTACTACTACTACTACGAGTACTGCTACTACTATTAAGCTTTTTGTCGAACAATTACTGTTGCGTAATAAAAAGAATCGTTTAATATCACAGAAAGTCGAAGAAGAATCGAAGCTGGAGGAGGAATATCTCGTGAGCGACATTGATCCAGAATGTATAACATTTATCAACTGTAACGACGAGACGAATACTTCGTTTAATCCTTCCTTGAGCGAAGACGCTGAAGAATCATCCTCGTCGAGTTTGAAAATGATGGAACTTTATAATGATTCGTTACCGGGACTCAATAGTCCACTTAATGATCTCGAAGTAACTGAAGGAACGTTGAATCATGAAAGGGCGTCGTCTAACGAAATAAAAAAAACAAAAGAAGAATTCGTAAAATTTGCCGAAAGTATAGCCGTTCAACTCGCTGAAATACCGGATTCTTATTCGAGATCGGTCGCTAAGTTGAGGATCAATCAAATCTTATTCGAAGCTGAAATCGGTGTTTATGCGCAAACACAACGCTAATTGCTTTGCTTTATATTTTATGTTTTATGTTTATAATCGTCGTCATTGTCAATCAACGATTATAATAATATCGACGATTATAATAAATTGATTTGCTCAAATTTTACTCTTTTCTGTTAGTCGACGAATCAGTGAATCAGGATCAATGAACTCCCGAGATCAGGGCAACGAAAGATTCACGAATCTGTAATTGCGTTTGTCGTCGGTTATATTGTATCTCATTGTTCGATGAAGTTCTTATTATGAAGATTATGAAAATTTATTAATTCATGCTAATTAAGCTTCACTTGATGTTATGCAATTTAACTCTTTGTGATCTTTAAGTGTTCTTTCAGAAATAATTTTGTTGTTTTTAATTTTACGTGCAAGCAACTTCGTTTATTCTAATCTATTAAATTGTAGTATTTTATTTTTTGTAAATTATTATAAATCCTCTCGGAGATCATATATCGGAGACCTTGAGGACAATTAGTTATTATATTTTTTTGAATGAACTTTTTTTTATCCATTCTAATGTCTTTCTTTGACTAACATTGAATTATGAAAGAGGGATAATAACGACTTGTAATTAAGAAAATAATTTATTATAGAAGAAAATGAAAAAAAAAAGAACAAAAAAAGAAAACAAAAAAGGAAAATATTGTCATTAAGTAAAATTTGATGTAGTTATTGAAATAAACAAAAGTACGTAAGTAAAGAAATAAAAATATAAATCAAAATAAACGGATAAGGAAGTACGAGGAGGATTTTCTCTCTATGCGTTTTTCTGTTCGGTTTGGTATCGAAAAAATGAAAAACGTGCCTTATGTACTTTCATCTATTTTTTTTATATGTACATACGAAGAAAATTTGAACATTAAGATTGAAAACAATTGCATATACATTGGAGATAATTTGAGTTATTTCCTTCTTAAATATGTATGTACTTTTGTGCAACAATAATCGTGTAATTTTAAATAATCGAAAAATATAATTCAAATAATGTTTCATTGAAACGGCCCTAAAATTAGACTAAAAAAAGAAGACTGTATAAAAAAAAAAAAGAAAATTATTTATTAATATTGCAATGTATTATCTCTGCGTACGGGTGATCGTAATCAGATATTTTTTAAAAGATTTATGCAGAGATACATATACGTGTGAAAATCAAATATATTTTATTCATATTTCACAAGTGAGATAGAGAGAATTAATGAATGAGTGATTTAAAATGCTACGATTAAATCGGGCATGCGTTAATATTTCTTATTGTTTTGAAATACGTTATGATGAATTATTGTTGTTTAGATGGGAAAAAGAAATCTCTCATTTGGTGATCGTTAAAACCACCATATGATATTTTTTTGTATATGTATGATCTCTCTCTACACATACACACTCACTCCATATATATATTAGGTCATGGCGATTATATTATATTTTTTCAGATATTTAGATATGCGCATATAAATTATGCATGCAATATTGTGACAAAAGTATTTTTTATTCATAGATAATTCATTATCGCATAATGAAAGAGGAAGAGAAAAAGAGAGAGGGAGAGGGGGAGGGAGGGAGGAAGAGAGACAGAGAGAGAGAGAGAGAGGGAGAAAGAGAGAGAGAGAGAGAGAGAGAAAGGAGTATATTTCTTCCGTTAATTCTAAAGCGAAGCGTTTTATAATATTTTAATTCATTTTTATTTTCCGTAAATAATACTAGTATTGTTCCTAACTTCATAAAATTGTTATGGTTATAGAATTTAGATTTTTATTTACCGATATAAAAAAAGCAAATATATCTTCGCATGCATTATACCAATAAAGGATACATTTACAAGAATTTATTGAACATATTTGCAAAAAGAAATAACAAACTTTAATTCAGCTCTTTTTTTTTTTTTTTTTTTTTTTTTTTTTTTTTTTTTTTTTTTTTTTTTTTTTTTTTTTTAATACGAGGTCTTCCTGATTATATGGAGAAATGTTTGTTTCTGAAGCATATCTTTAATTTTATATTTTATTTACATAAATGGTAATGTTCTAAAGAAGGAAAGATCTCTTATATGTATGTATGTTATTAAGTCATTCAGCCGAGATAATGAGTTAGACTTGTAGTGCATGATTTGGGCCGAAGTGTTCATCTACGAGTCAAATTCGTGCTTTACCTCATAATGCAGCAAGGCGACAATTTCAAATTGCCATTTATACCATTGTATTATTTTAACGTTGTACCCATATAAATTAAATGTCGCATCTCCGAATCATAGAAAGTAAGAAATAAATAGCCGATTGTGTTAATAATATGCAAAATAAATAAATAAATAAAAAAAACAGAAAAAAAAGAAAATTAAACAATTTCTATATTATCGAACACATTAAAATGAAATTATAAGTGCAAATGTATTATGAACAATTTATTAATATAACGCACAAAAACTTGAAGCACTTGAACAAAATCAGTAAAACAGACTGTTCAATTTTTCATGAAATGATAAACGAAACGTTAAGATATTGTCATACATTATTAATTTGTACGTATTAATTGGTATATAATAGATAGAATTGATAACAATATTGAAGTATCAGTTCAATAAATTTCTTTCAATTTTAGTTTATACTTAATACAGTATCTAACTAAATTTCTTTATATTCGTATGTAAACTGGATTCAAATACATTACTAAAATATAAATCAAATGTATCATCTTTAATCAATAATTTCTGTAATATATGTATTTTTTGGATGCTAATGATCCAGATAAAAATGAGTAATTTTTAATGAAATTTGCTAAACTCCTTAACAATAGATATTTCTTGTTTTTGATAAAAAAGCAATTATATTGCAAGAGCTATTGTTTTCTACGGTGGTACATAAAGAAATAAATAAATAAAAAAAATTGTGATAAACATTTTTTCATTTGTTTGAATAAACGTATGAATAATAAGTACTAATATAAAAATATAACAGTATTAATAATAAAATAAAAAAAAAGAAAAAAAAAAAAGAAAGAACATTTAAAAAATACATAAATAGTAATTCGCGTAATTATAATTAATTTTACTCTTTCAGCACAATTAAATTTGTATCAGCTATGAAAAAATACCTTTACAAAATACACAGCTTTATATTATAAGTGATTTTGTTGAAATTACGAATAAGTCCATTGTAATATGTGCAAAATTCCTAAAAAAAAGAAGTATGCATAACTACTAAACAATTTGAATACGAAAGTAAATAGTATTTCCAACACTTTCATAGTTTGAATTACAATAAGAGCATACAATATTAGTATAAGTATTTCAATTTTATACATATGTTGCGAATGTTCCACTAAAGCAAGATAAATACGACGAGAAGCACGACTACCGAACTCAGTAAGTCTTTCTACTGTATGATGTAATTTAGCGTGTTCACTGCATAATTCCTCTATAAAATATAAAATTCAAATGAAAATAAAGTATTTATGCTATAATTTATTATTTTTAATAAATAAAATTGTACCTGTGTCCTCTTCTATTTCTTCATGTGACGCAGGTAAGTACTTATCTAATATTAATTCTACGAGATGTGTTGTATTATCCACAGTTTTTAGAATACTGATTCCTGTTTGAGTGGACATGACTCTGTCTGCTTGTTGCCAACTATATAAACGTAAGTAATGTACCTTATAATAGGTAAGTAAAATCATAATTCTAACTTTTTGCTTTGTTTCATGTTTAAGATCAGAAAAAGTTTTTACGGCTGGACGTAGATGATTTGTAACAAATGATTTTGTCCTATCTAATATCTAAAAGAATAAAAAAAATTACAATAAAAACTTATCAATGATTGATAATTTTTAATATAAATTGAAATATTCTTACCTCTTTAGGTTCTTCTTTGATTATAGGCAGTTTCACTTCCATAAAATCGAAACCCTGGCACAGTGTCTTATCCAAAGTATAAATAGGTTTTTCCATTAATCTAGCAACTGGCGTTGATTTTTCAATAACAATATTTACAACATTTTCTACCATATCGAATGCCCAATTAACAAACGTATTTGCTCCCTTCATACGATCATAAACTTTCGTAGATTTGTCAAATAAATAATTCAAACTTGGTATCTTTCTAGCACGATCTACAGATTGAATCCTATATAACCTATCTGTTAATTTTACTTCCATGATCGCAACATACATCAGAATACACTTCCATAGACACAACAGTCTATTTATAGAGTATACTTTTAAGAACTGTAAGAAAAGTTTTGATTTGAATTATTGAATAAGAAGAACTATAATCAATATTATGAAAAACATTAATGTATTCGATTAATGTACACGACATTAATTGTATTCGAAGTATTAACTACAAATAAATATATAATTAACAAAATTTGTAAAGAAAAATATTCATGTTATATTTAAAAAAAAAGTTTTTTAACGTAATTTTTAAAACTCTTCATTTTGATAGGTGCATAGTATGTTTATATACAAACACGTGATTATTTGATTCTACGTAAATCTCATTTCTGAGTGAATTGTAAATATATGTAGTATACAATACATATTTTTAATTGTCACTTACTCGTTATAATCGCTTATTATCACGTATATATTTAGTTCCACATCAACAACAGTTACTTGAACATTAAATTATGTATTAACAGAAGCACGTACCTTGATCTTTGATTCATTTCAATATTAATTTTTTCAATATTAATGTTTATTCCAATTGTTAATCACATCCGAAGATTTTTCTTTCTTGTATCCTCTTAGTAAGTAGTCTTTACCTCTTGTTATTTTATATTTATCTCTTTTTCTTCTTCTATCATATGACCATGACGGGTTTACACAGTTTTAGAACATTAACCAGGTTAAGTTCAGGAAAGTTGATAGGGCTAAATGTTATATTGATGCTTTGATTTTGATTGTTACCGCTAGGAATCGCTACTGTGTATTTTTCATAAATAGCATAAAAATACAAATTAATGATAAATAAAGAATTATTAATTAATCATTATTTATGATATTATTCATACCTTATGCAATATTGTCAATATGACTTTAATATCTAATTCTCATTTACATATAATACATTAAATACATCAGAGTGGCGGATTTTAAAAAACAAAATTTTTTTTTATCTCATTATTTCTATCCACTTTTAATATTGTCTACTAGAAGAAAATAATCCCTATATATTTAAAATTTTATTTACTAAATTTATCAGTTATCTTTCTCCATAAAAGTTGCAATGGTAAGAAACCATTTCTTCTTTCAAGTCTTGGATGAAAAATATCAAAATCTGTTTTCCTTAATTCTTCTAAATAATTTTCTATACAAATTATTGGTAAAAATATTGATTTGCTTTCCTGCAAAGTATTAAGTGAGATTGCCTGAAACAATTATTAAAAAAAATGTACTTAACAATATTGTTATGACGTATAATAAAGGCATAGTACCTCTTCTATATGTTGTTTGGCACAAGATGCTACTTCAAATATTACATCATTCAGGGCTGTATTTTTTACATTTCGTAATACTGATTCGGATGATATATTGTGTTTCATTAAAATATCTTCTGGTAAAACAATAACACGTTTTTGAGCATGATATGGAATGGAGCGCAATAAAGTAACAATTCCTTGTGCTTTGCCCAAATGACTAGCTGTATGATCTGCCTTTATATTTTTTGTACCATGTGCTTCCAATAATAAGTAATAAATTGATGAAACAGTACTTTCAGCATAATTTTCAACTGCTTGTATATTAGGAAATGTAGATTTTTCTAATTTATCTAACCGAGCATCAATTAGACGTTTAAAATATCTTTTTGAAAGTTTGTGTTTTTGTAATATCTGTTTGAAAATTGAAGGAAATAACTTATGTTTAAATAAGTATAATTGCTTATATTGTTGTTTTATAATATTATCTTTACCCTATGTAATTCTAAAGCAACTGGTGTTTCTGATGGCATACCATCATATATCCTATTCAGCGTTTCTTTCCAAAATTGTAATCTCATTATTCCTATATGTTTTATACTTATTTGGTCTTCAACTTGTGCTATTTCAACGTTAAAAGCACGAATCGCAGAACCTGCAGCTTTTATATTATTAGGAAGTAGTAACGTGCATAAAAAATTCTCATAATCTCTTTTTCTAAAAGTAGAAAATGTTGATATATTATAACATAACAGATAGAAATCAACGCACGATTAAAGAAATAGAAAAAATAATTAATTTCTTGTTATAATTTACTTTTTTTATATTTTGATATTAGCATTGCATATAATGAGCATACCTAACCAATTCCAAACAATATTCAGCGGATGACTGTTTTTTCATTGTGCTCATACAACGAAAACATTGTCTTACAATATTTTTATTAATAAATAATGAGGAAGTCATCATTTTATATTTTTTGTGTTAATTTTTTTAACATAAAAATATAATCTACTTCTGCACCATTCCACACGTGCGCAAAATATAAAGCGCCATTTTTGTATAGAAATACATGTAAACCTATTCTAATGTTGTATTCTTGTATATATGTGTGTAAGTAATCATAAACATTCTATATGAAGCTCATTTAAATTGTTCTTGAACATAACGTTTTGAATATATGCTTGGCATAAAGAAATATTACGTTGGTCAAAAAATAATCTCGAAATTTTCAATATTTTTATAACTAAATAAACAATACTACTATCTGTTACTGAAAATTCGAACTTTAAATTCAAATGTAAAAAATAAATTAGTCTATTTGAAATATTCAAATGTGTATCAATGTTATTAATTATTTATTTATATATATAAAATACTGAAAATTGGTGACAATATTTATTGAAGAATCAAATAGAAAATAATCAATTAACATAATATGCATGTACTTTATTTTATTTATAAATTAATTCTCCTTGGAAGATTGAAATAAAAATTACAAAATATATTCCAAGTATATTTATTCAATATTTTCTAAATTGAAATTGATTGAAATTGTATATATGAAATATAATAGTATAACATAATATTTCCTCTGTAATTGATATCAAAATAAATACATATTACAGAAGCAAAGAAGTTCATGCAGTTTTCAGTAGAGTTATTTGTAAGAACTTATTGTTATGACTTGTAGATCCCAAGTTTTTATCATATATCAAAGATAATATATTTTTGTGATAATATATTTTTTTATAATAAAGTGTAGTCTATCACTACACTTTAATTTGGTATGAACTTTTATATTATGAATTTAAATACTTTTTAAATGTTAAATCTAATGTAATTCAACCATATTTATTTTATAAATGTAAACTTTGTTTAAAAATTTCAAAAGCAACATGTATAGCATATGGAGAAGATATTGTAAAAGAATATACTGCACAAAAGTGGTTTAAAAAAATTTTCTTCTGTTGATGACTTAGATAAAGATTCACCCTCCTCAAAGGATGACTTTGTATCATTGATAATGGATAATTAAGTGTTGTTATAGAAAATAATTCAAATGAACAATTATATAAAACAATGAATACTCATAATTAAAAAACTAGAACACTTTCTTTTTTTAGTTATTTTAACACGATTATCATATGTCAAATATTTTTCTTACCATTCTTATCATAAACTGATACAATAATAATGAAAAATGTCTTTATATTATATTAGTTATTGTAAATATATTTTATTTCTTAACATATTTGTTGAGAGAAATTAAATTACACGGAGTCTTTTTTAAACACATTTTAATCATGTATTAAATATGTATTATAACATTGTAACTTATTTCATATAACACTGACTAAAAAAGTTTTCTAAAAGTAAGTAACTAGATAGTTCAATCAATTTAAACTTGCTCAAATAGTAATAATTCTCTTTACAAAGTACAACAGTCTTATTAGTATTAACAACTCTTATAACTTTTATTAATGCTGCAAAATAGCTTTAACATTTAGAATGAAATAGTTATTTATACATATATATAAATTTATAGATTTCCTTTAAAATATATAAATATATATATATATATGATTTAATTTTTTGTGTGATCAATTAATTATAAATAATTTTACTACGTTATTATCTATATGAAATATAATATATAACATGATTAATGGATTTCAGATAGAAATTTTTTTGAAAAGTATTATATTCATTATTAATTTTATAAAAAAAATCTTAATCATTTATATAATAAATCAATATAATGTATTAATTCGATGTTGTATATTTAAACATAGCAAATATTCTCTTTTTACCTCATCTTCATTCTTAATAATTTAATTAGCACGGTCGAAAATAATAGTATATTAGTTGTCAATAAACTACATAAATATATATTTTATCCGTATACTTATATAAAAATAAAAATAATTGTTTAAAGCAATATTAACAGTAAATCAGTGAAATTAAAACAACTAAATATATATATCAGTATATTAAGTAAATTAATAGAATAATATAGCCTACTGTAACATATATAGGTAGTATACTGTATAAATTGATTAATAATTAATTTTACTTCATATCCTTATTATACAAATAATAAAATTAAAGCTATTTTATAAGATATAATAATAGTCTCATTTTATCGTTCTATAATAGTTTATAATGTATAAAATCTTACATATATATATATAGTCAATGTTTGACATTCACATATTAGTCTGTATCAAATATTGCACAGACAATTTTATTTTATATAAATTTATAAGATATTCAAATTATTAAATAACATTCAACTCCAAACATCACTAGAATAACGTTTTTGCGAATCCATTTTCTTAATATATGCTGCTGCTTCTTTATCTGACATATTTCCTTTTTCCATTACAACTTTTAGTAATATATTATGTACATCACGAGCCATATTCCTAGCATCACTGTAAACAAATAAATTTGCAGATATTTATGAAGCAAAATTTAATAATTTAAGAAAAAAAATTTGAGGAGAAATAGATAAAAATATATCAAATTTTAATTTATACTAACCCACAGACGTATATATGACCATTTTGTTCACCAATGACTCTCCATATTTCTTCTTTATTATTTTCAAGTAAATGTGTTACATATACTTTCTGAGGTTGATCTCTGCTAAATGCAATATGCAATTTTAACATGCCGCTGTTTACGTATTCTTCTAATTCTTCTCTATACAAATAATCTTCGTTCTTCTTTCTGCATCCAAAATATAAAATCGTATCACCGACTTCTTTACCTTCTTTTTTAGCTAAGTCTCGTTCTTGTATAAAACCTCTAAATGGTGCTAAACCAGTTCCAGGTCCAATCATAATAATTGGGGTAGTCAATCGTGTTGGTAAACGAAATTGTGATTTTCGTACAAATATAGGAACAAGGCAAGGTGGGTTCGAAGGATGTTTTTCTTTTAACCAACTGGTTGTTACACCTTTATTAATTCTACCTGTTAGTGTTTTATATTCCACGACAACTGCAGTAATATGTATTGAATTTGGATGAAGCTAAAAAAAAAGGAATAAAGTATTTAAATATATTTAAATATATTTAAATATATTTTAATATAGTATATTTATTTTAATATAAGTATATATATTTTAATATAGTATATATATTTTAATATTTATTTTAATATAATATATTTATATAGTAAAAAAGTCATATTATACAGATATAAGAAAAAATGACTATCATTTAGGTTAAAAAAATACTTAAACATACCTTCGGCGATGAAGAAATAGAATAATAACGACATTGTAATCGTGGTAAAATTTCACATAAATGATCCAAAGCTGGTTTCACACTAGGGATGTCTTCTAAGATGTGTACAATATTTCTGTTTTCTTGTACTATCCATTGCTGATAAGCAGCTTTACCTTCAGCACTAGTAGAAGCCATCAATTTTAATTTCTCTTTATCAATTGGATCACTAGCATATTCTGATAACTCTTTTAAAATATGAGTTCTTGGATTACCAGTTATATCCAAATAATGAGTTAAAGCAGTTCTATATGTACAAGGACATGGAAATGGATGCTTTTTAGTGGATTCCTCTGAAATTGTAAATTTATAAAATTAATATAAAATTCTATATTATATTCATTAGATATAATTATTTCTTATATAAAACATACCATCTGTATTAGTAAGAGTGAATACAGTATCTAAATCAATACCACATTTTTCGCCAATTTTATTTACCAACTCTGCACTGTTAACAGGATATACAGCTAAATGATCGCCAGATTCATAACGCATTTTAGATGTTTCTATATCAAACTCAATATGCATACAAGATCTATCAGATGTTGGACCATGTAATTCTTTGTTGACTTTGATTGGTGCCAAGAAAGGATTTTTAGCATCATATGGTCTGTACAAAAGCAAACATAAATACTTATAAATTTTATTAAACTCATTAAGTTGCAAATTATACTATTATTAAAAAAAGAAAAAAAATCATTGATATATATATATATAAAACTATCATTTATAAAATACCATCTTTGTATGAATAGGATCTTACGGTCTTTGATTTTTAAAAGAATGAAAACGTGCTATTTCTCCAGTATAAATACATTCAGGCAGAATATCAACATGTTCCGTCAATTTATATTGTCTAATACTGACATCTTCTCCTGTACCTTCAATACCAAAGAATTCACAGACAGCTGGCCAAAATTTGTCCTTCCAAGTAATAAAATCATCTTCTATACTGTAATAAAAATTAATATAATTTTTTAATTAATATAATATTTATAAACATAATTATGTTATAAATGAATCAATAATTATTTTCTTACTTGGCATCATCATCACCTAATCCCAAATCAAAAACACGGGTAGCACCTAATTGTTCCAATCTATGATCAACATATATAGCTACCTCATTGTAATGTTCATAAGTTTTGTTTCCAAGTCCGAATACCTATATAAAATGAAAGAATATTTTACACTTACTTAATATTCAGGAACTTAATTACAGGAATTTAATATTCCTGACCTTAAAATAATTTAAATATAAATGTGAGTACCCTAACTTCCGGTTTACGATATAATATTAAGGAATGACACAACGTGGCGCTGTACCAATGAACAAATGTATTCATTAACCGACCAAAATATTTTAACTTCATGTCCTCGATATTGTATAGTAGTTGTGTGAAAATTTATTAAATGTAGGTATGAGATATTACAATTCTCATTTTATTACAGCATTATTTTAATTAATTTATTTTTGAACTTGCAAAATTAATAGATCACTTACGAACATAAAAATGTATATATCAAACGTGTGCATGTATAACTATACTAAGTGCTTATGTAACTTAAATGGACATGTTGAATAATATTGAAGATATTATGTAAGTATATGAGCTGTTCACTGTGTGCTTCTAATTCGTTTTAACCTAATGGATATCTCTATGATTGGTCCGGTTAGTATAAATATAAAGGTTATATCAGCAATGTTAAAGTTAGAAGAAATGACGTAATTTCCGGATAGAAATATTAGTTGGCACTGCGATCGTATTAAGAGATATATTGTTCGAAAATTTAATAATTTCTCATTGTCAAGTAATGTAAATATACATATTATGATCTATAATTTTATCAAATTCTATTTAGTATATATACCTTTGTTAAAGAATGTCTTTATATATTATATGTAAATTAAAGTTTCTTGAAAGTATATTACATCTATAACAAGTAGTATATTACATTTATAACAGTACTTACTGAATAATTTAGGCCTGTAAGATCTGGATCTCCATTCTTTAGCCAATCAACAAATTCCATTGCATTATCTGTAGGATCACCTTCTCCATACGTGGCTAAACAAAATACTGCTAAGCTATTTTTAATTTTTTTCATATGCGTTAATTCTTCCTATTAAGATAATTAAAAGATAATAAACATCATAGTATGTGTAGTTTAATTTCTGAATTCTGTGAATTATATGATTCATCGTTTACCATCTCACATTCCTCTGGATCTGCAACCATACCCTTCAATTTATATCGGATACCTTCCTTGGCTAATCTGCCTGCAAATTCTTCACCGGTTCCAGTTTGACTACCGTAAAATACAACTAAACTTCGACCAGAAGATATTAATTTTTTTATAAAAGAATTTTCTGATGGTGTTAATGATGTAAATGATGTCGGTCTTAAAAAAAAGAAAAAAAAGTAGTTCCATTATAAGAATTTTTATAGAAATATTAAAATTTGATAAATATAATAATTACTGAATGGAATATGATTTAGTAGTAAATGTAGTATCTTCTTGCTTATTTCTGCGCATAAGCCACCATATGGCTACCAAAAGTAGAGTTCCAAGTAGAAGGAAATCTAAAGTACTATAAGAAGACTCGTCAACAGTCTCCATTCTGTTCTCATTTTCTATAACTGGAGACCCAGCCATCCTTACTGCTTTTGGTTGTGATGCGTCTACAATCTATAATCAAAATATAATATTATTAGATTGCATTAATAACATTAATACACGAGTTACATTATTTATTTTACTCATGTTGTCAATAAGTATTATATCAAGAAAATGCTTCTGGCATACTAAAATTATAAAAACATGCACAGACTACTAATTATTATCCATTATATAAGCATTAAACTGTAGAATAGATTATAAGAAAAGAAATATCATTTCATCATTCTCACTTTTGATTATAATAACGAAAAATATATAAACGAAAAGAATTTTCGACATTTCATTACCTTCGCCACTATAAATTAAATCTCAAATATGATTTTAGATTGATAAGACAAAAGTATTAACGTTGGACTTAGTTTCACGTATAACGAAAATTACAATTTAAACTATTAATTGTGTCAATTGTCAGGTACTGAGGATAACTAGAAATTATATTTATTTTTATTATTATTTATCTCAACCTTTTTTTCTTCGATTTCGGATAGAACTTTGTGATTCAATAGATTCGTTTAATTGTCAAGTGAAGAATACTTAGAAAAACGAAGAGAGAAAATAATATATAATTACTATCGAAATGTCGCGTATTACATTCGCAATTAGATTTTATTACGTAAGATATAAGATCGATAAAGTACTAACAAGTTAACGGACTTATTATTTAAAATGAGGACTAGGAAATGATACATCTACTTATACATGATATAATACTTTCAATTGTTATTCACAAAATAGCAATATCATCTTGCGTTTTCTACAATATTGTCATTTTTTAAATTCGTGCGCGATTCTTCCACGTTTTGACATAACCTGTAATTTTTTTTAACAATTAACTGTAACGTTATCAGAAGTTCATTCTTAAATTCATTATACAACATATTATACAAACAATCGTTTAATGTGGAACATTATACGGAGAACAATAAGATCGTTACGTTATTTATCACATGAATTATACACTATACGAGTGGTATGTAATAATGTATCGTGAAAAAATCATTTGTTATTGAAATATTAGAAATACCATAAACAATCGATTTTAATCTTTATCTGGCAATGAATAACTACGGAATTAGTATTCAAGTAATATATGATATTACGTATCACGATGACTAATAGAAATGATAATTATATAACAAAATATATCTTAATAATTCGTTGAATTTTTAATAATTATTTTTTGTACGTAATAATAAACGACAAAGTTTAGGATAATTCACACATAAATATATTAATTTTATAATATTTACGTTCTATTTATTGATAATATTGAATTTTGTGATTTCGAAAACACATATTGCATATCAATAATAAATTTAGAGATTAAAACTTTTTATTCGTGAACGAGTAAACGTTTTCAATGTATGAATAATCGTATTTGTTAATTTTAGTGATTTGATATATTTAACAAGTTAATACCAGTTTCATCAAATCGTAAAAAAAAAAAAAAAAAAATAAAAAAATAAAAAAATAAAAAAAACATTCGAACGAAAACAAGAATGCTTTTCATTTCTTCTTAGAGTATTATCGGTAATATTTTAATGTTTATTACGAATTCAATAAATTGTTTCAATTTAAACAAATAAATTCTTTATACTTTTTAGACTCTTTCTAAGCTTTATCAATAAGTATATGAAGATTGAAGTGTACAATGATATCAAAAGATAACGAAAAATCAATGATAACATTTTTATAAATAAAAATTACAATTATGAAAATTCTTCTATTATATTTACTGGCACCGTTATTTTTATTACCAATACAATTTACATTTTCTTTTTTTTTCCTCAATAGCTTTAAATAAATTTTACTCTTATCGTAGCGTTAACTATTCATTGACATAATAATATAGTTACAAAAAAAAACAAAAAAAAAAAAAAAAAAAAAAAGAAAAAATATCCAATGTATCAAAGGTAAAATATAAAAATATTAGAGAATAAAACGTATTTTGATCATTTTAGCATTTGCAAAAAGTACAGTCCTTGAATATTAAATGTTTTTGTTTTTTATGAATAATCGATCGTTAGATCGTTTGAAATTTTGTAGGTAAAAACTTTTATACCACAAGACGTATTATTTATAGATATATAAATTCGATAATGTGATCACACTTGTTTGAATATGTGATGCCATGACATATATTTGTGATCAAGGGTGAGAATTTTCAAATAGATGCTGTTGCAATTATCTTAATACAAAATATATTCATTTCTTACCGGTAAATCCATTTCGTGATAACAAATTAACTGAGAAACCGTTGATAAGCGATTTATCGTCGTAGAAAATCAACGTTTATTCTATTGACGGTTATAATAGGCGAATTGTTATGTAAATAAAGATGAAAACGATGCAACGTATCGCGCAATACTGACGGAAAATCGACGATTTCCGCTAGTCCAAATCATGACAATTCGTGCTTTGACGCATGCGCGTATGCAAATCTTTCCTCTTTACTCTCTCTTTCTCTCCCTCCCCTCCTCTCTCTTTCTTTTTTCCTTTCTTAACTGCCTCAAAGTGATATTGTATGTAATGGCAAAAGTTTTACAAATAAACAAGTCATTTCCTATGTAGTCGCTGCCGTCATAAGTTTTATCTTATAATGCTAGGCTTTTCTAACATGAAAGTTATGCTTTTACTATAGCTGAACGTATATATATATATATATTTTTTTTTTTGCTGTGTCATATAAGTAGGTAGTATAATTACACTTACTGAACGAGATAAATTATAAAACGATGAGATATCGTTTCTCAGTAAAATTTTTTTTTTTTTTTTTTTTTTTTTTATAATGATGTCACGAAGATTACAATGTCCTATTAAGGACTTGAGATTGATATTATCTGAATAATGGGAACTATTTATATATATATATATATATATATATATATATATATATATATATATATATATATTATCTTCTTTTCGCTTTTTTTTTCATTTTTGTTTCTTTTTATAAGATCTTTAGATTATCAAAGCGGATTATAAGTAATATGACAGCAATACAAATGTATTAGAACAATGATACGCGACGTGAGTTTATTATAAGAATATTGTGAAATATTTTGCAATATTCTCTTATAAAAAAGAAGATAATTTTCGATTGATTTTATATCTATAACATAGTAAATAAACGCTATCTCTGTGTCGATAAAAAAAAGAAAAAAAAAATTCGAGATCAATAATTGGAATCAAGCTGAAATCGATCTATAATTTATGTTAATAATTGACAAAAATTTTTATTTATTTGTAATATACAATAGTAATGGTTTACCATAAATATTTTATTTTATATATTTTTTTATAAAATATATAATATTTATGATAAAATATATTACATATATATATTTATTTTATTTTGTTTATCTGCACAAATATACCTTTTGGTATTAGATTTACGACTTTTTTTAATCTTACTTTTTTTTTTTAAATAAATAATCATTAGCTAGTAGAATATACAACTTGATTTCGTAATGGCAGGGAAATTCCCCTTCCATTTATTTTATATTATCTCTCTATTTGAAGTATTTATACATATGGTAGGTGTATCGTATCTTCATACGAAGAAGTAGATAACTTTTTTGGTTTTTAGTAGAAGAATGATTTTCAATTTCCTATCTCCGTAATAATCACGCGCAATATAAAAGCAACATTAATATGAGCTGAAAACATTTCAGTTCATTAGTTCGCATTTTATAATTTTAATCATTAATTTTTCTGAAAGAGATATTGGATTGGTTGGCCAATAATATGGAATTTTTTCCGTAAAAAATAATTGCTAAGATAATATATACAAATTATTTTATTAAAAAATCGTATGTTATTCGATTCGGTCTATAAGTAATGTCGAAATTTTTAACAGAAATTATTAATATTATTTATTTAAATGTGCAACAATAAAAATATGCACATTAAATATACCTAATATCTCGTGTACAATATTTCTTTTTTATTTTGAATAATATTTATCGATCATTGATAATAATCGTAAGGTAAAATCGTATAAGCTGCGTTACTTTTTTTTTCTCTTTTTTTTTAAGCGAAATCGATAACGAACAAATAAAATTTCATTCTTATTAAGAAATACGAAATTTCAAGTAGTATAACTTGTGTCATTAATGCATATTCGTCTAAATAAAAAAAAAGTCGATTTTTCGGTCGAATCATTAACGCGTCTAGTAAAAAAAAAAAAATCAAATATTAATTTAACGACGAAAGTGAAAATCTTATATTTTTTCGATATAATGAAAGCGACAGAATGAGAACTATGTTGAAAAAGATTATAAAAATCTGCATTATTATCAAGTTTCATTAGACAATAATGAATATAAATTCATATGTAAATTTACACAAGAGAGATAAAAATTCAAATGTGTGTGTATATATATATATGTTTGTATGTATGTTCTTACGTCAAACGATAAAAATTTACAGATCAATTCATTAAATTAGGAATATTTTTTATCATTCCATCCATTTTATCCATTTTGTCTTTATTCTTTGTGATTGTCTTCCATTTGTTTTACGATATGACCGCATAAACTTTCCATATGTTCTTAAAATAGAGAAGCGTGCAAAAGATATTTTTATATTTGAAACTATTTGAAATATCCAAAAATCTTTTTGTGAACCTTAAATACGCATGTATATATATATATATATATATATATATATATATGTGTGTGTGTGTGTGTGTGTGTGTGTGTGTGCGTGTGCGTGCGTGTGCGCGCGCGTGTGTGTGTGTTTCTATCCACTCAATTGTCCATAAAAAATTTTTTTAAATAATTGATATTAAAACAGATTCTTTTTTATAGTCTTTCATTTTTTTCTAATCATACTTTTTTATTTAAAGTGATTAGGTAATCAACAAATTTATATCATTGATTTCGTCCATGTGGAAGAGAGCGAATTCATTTTAATTGAGAATTCGTCTTTTTATTATCTACAATATTACGATAACAAAAATATGTCAACCTAAACAAAAAAAGAAAAAAAACTCGATGATTATAAAATCTCGATGAAAATGTCATATTAACCAGAATGTTATATTCTATGAATTTAAAATGGAAAATTTATGCGAATCAACTTGTATATTAATAATAGTACAGATAGAAAAGTTGCTTATTATTAATGACAAATATACCTATATACATATATACATATCACAATGAATGATATAACAAAAGAATATGAAGTATAATAGTTTTTATTTACCAATGCTAAGAAATTTCTCTAGAAAACAATTATAAATTAGATTTTAAATAGATATGTATGGCGTTTAATAAAATTATAGTATTTATAATAAATTTCTCGTAAATGATTTGATTAACATACACATATAGGGTTTATATAAATCTTGCAACTTTTATTTGAAATATTTTTTTATAAAATCAATAAGATTTGGAGACATTTAGCTATATTATTTAAAATGAGACACCCGTTATATATAATATATATAATAAAGAAAAGTATTTTAAAGGAAATGATTAACTTATTAATGAAATTTATAAATACGGTAAAAATATCATTTGTAATTACATCATTGATTACATTGTAGATCATTCACAGAAAGTTCACTAACTGATGTAATTCTATTAATCGCTATGCTTATCTATTTAAAGTCTAATCTACAATTGTTTTTTAGAGAAATTTTTTAATAGCGATAAATCATAAATTTGTTGTTTTCATTCTTTTGTTCACTGTTATATCGAGGTCATTAGGAGTAGCCAAGGAAAAATGTTTTTTTGTTTTGTTGCTAAAATGGCTTCCGAAATAGTACTGAAACTTCTTAACGCTTAATTGGAAATTATTTAAATTCTTGTAAAAAAAAAAAAAAGAAAAAAATACAACAACAACCTAATCAAACAAGAAAGAACAAATTGATCTCAAAGCCATGAACAATATTCTATCGAGCTGAAAAAAAGATATACAATAATCAGTATGCATCATTTCACGAATTAGTATATATTAAAATTAAGGGATAATCATTTAGGCATCAATCATTTTCTCAAATTATGTAAGTTACTATGATTTTTTCTTTTTCTGACTATGACATGAAAACTTTTTGGATAAATTACAAATTAACCCTTAGTGATCGAATATATATAATATATATATATATGTAATAGATTTAGAGAAAATTTTTATATATATAAATTATTAACCGTTAAGAATTAAACGTAAATGAAATCAATATTCTTTTTTTATATTTTAAATCGAAACATTTTAATGCATAAAAAAATGCTTTTCATATACGTGTCTCAATTAAATAATTTTATATAGAACAATATAAGGAATTTCCTCTTTGCAACTTACGTAATTACTTATGTAAATTATCTACGTAATCTATATGAATAAGAATTGGCCATAAATCTCAATTGTATTATTGAAGACGTTACGTGACAAAAAAGGAGTCATCATGTCAGGACCTCCGGGACACAATAATAACGATTTTCGGTCGATAAAATATTGTAAAGTAAGCAAAATTTGACCTTACTTCGTGACCTTCTTTCATATTTATTTTGATAATATGGTTCAGATAGAAAAACTCATTGATTATCCTAAGTTGTTTCAAATTATAAGCTTAGGAAGTTTACCGGATTTTGTTTGCATTTCTATTATTTAATATTTAAAATATTTCAATATATTTTTTCTTACATCAAATATTCATCATTTTTATGCGCGATAATATACTATTATATTATTTGATGCTGAACAAATTATATAACTAAATCCAAAAGTATATAGTTTAATAATAAAATTACAAAGTAATGAAAACAAATTAGCTTACAATACTTATATTGTATTGAATCATGCGATGATGAAAAATTTCAGAATGGGAAAATGGAGGAAGGCGGAAGGGTCAAAGTTCGACAGACAAATGCTAATGGCAATGACAATGAAGAAATGAGAAAATGGCCGGCATTGTGTGACGCGAATCCGTATATAGTGGATCTTTTGAATAATCTTTTCAAAAAGAAAGAAACAATCAATGAATCATCACCAACTACTTAAAATTCGGATTAACGATTTTTTAAAGCTATTATTATAAGCTTTTAAATGTCATTAAAATAATCAGTGAAAATAAATCATACACAAATTACTTCCGTTTTGCTTTAAATATAATTTCTTACAAGTTTAATTTTTTACAAATATATAAATTGTCTAAAATCAATGCTTTTATTTATATATATATGTAATGACAAAAAGGATATATATATATATATATATATATATATATATATTCTTTTTATCACTCTTTTATAAATGGAAATATAATGAAATGTACAAAAGAATAGCGTTACATTAGCATAAATATACTAAGGTGATTTTTAAATTTTGCTCTTACTTAATTTTATCTTTTATTTCAAATACATAATTCAGAAAAAAAGTAAGACCCAACTATTGGTTAACTTCGGGACAAATAGTTTTCGCCGGGAACAAGTCTCCGACAGATAAATAAATATTAATAGACTAAAATAAATGTTACTTTAATATGTATGTGAATAAAATTTGCTTTCAAGGACGAAGATTGTATTTATTGGCTTTTTTTTTCTTTCTGACAATAAAAACTTGTAAGATACACAGAATAATATTGAAAAAACTCAAATGAATCAACGAATAATATTGAAAAAACTGAAACGAATCAACGAATAAAAATTGATTCGAAGAATAAAAAAAATTAATTTTGACTACTAATAAAATATGTACTCTTTTTTCTCTCTCTCTCTCCCTCCTTCTTTTGTCTACCTCACTTTTATTTATTTTTATCTATTATTTTATCTTTATCATTTCATCCATTTCTTTCTACTTTACTCGCGTTCTTTCTCTCTCTCTCTCTCTCTCTCTCTCTCTCTCTCTTCCTTCCTCCTCTTCTCTCTCTCTGTCTATCATCTTGTTCAGACAATCACCACCTGTTGGAATGCATTATGTTGAATTTACTTACGAAAGAAATAATTCGATTTCCCCGATCGATGTTGATTTTTGGTAAATTGCTTCTCTTTCTTGATTTTCACAAAATAATCGATCACCATGTGACTTTCCTCTTCTTTCCTCTGATTTTTCCTTTTTTTTTTCTTTTTTTGTTTTTTTTCCCCTTTTTCTCTTTAGAAACGACACTGTACCAAAGAAACACTGTTAGTTCAAAATTCGAACGGTTAACGAGTTTGCGAATTACGTACGAAAGGACAATGTACGAATAACGTGATGCTGAATAACTCTTGTTTGAAGTTGATTTAATGATGGATCTTCTATGAAAAATTTGATCACGATTCAATTGACTGACCTATTGAAATTATTACTTTTTAAGATTGGAAAACTAGACCGATAATAGTTAGTATGGTATTATTGTCTGTCTATCTATATGCGTGCGTCCGAAGGAGAATATATAACAGGAGGCAAAAGAAAAGAATTTCAGTTGCGATGAATTACGATCGACAATGATGGCAAATCGAGTGTCACGGTCGGAAGGTTGCCGAAGGTTGCCGAGCGTCTGGTTCTTACTTTCGAGATACTGAATTTACAAGCTGACACACAACACAAAATTTTAAGCTCGCTTCACTTGTGCGTTTTGAAGTTTTTCGTAAATGATAAACGATCCCATTAGTTCTTTCTTCCTCTTTTTCTTCATGAAGATGGGAAGAAGAAGCAATACTGGTTCGGTTTAGTTCGGTTTTTACACTCGGCAGTTCGTCTTGGAAATTACCGGAAGTAACAATCTGCATGAACGCGCGCGCTTTATTTGAAATTTATCGAATAATTTCATGTAGAAATATCTTTCATTTAATTTTATTATTAAATCGTATCAACTTACATATATAATAGTTTGTAACATTTTATAATGTATTTCGTCAATCTTTTGTAATTCATTGAAATCGATATATTTATTTATATGGAACAATCAAAACATTTCGATACAATGTTTTTCTTTTTTTCTTTGTTTTCCATAGATTTATTTTTCAATGCTACGAAAGAAAAATATTGAAGTACGGCATTAAGTCAAATGATGGAAATTAATGATAAATGGGCCGTTAAGGCTGTGAAAATATAACCTACTTATTAGATCCGAGCCGATATTCATTGGTATTGTTTTATTAATTTCCAATTCTCGTAAAACCATCGCATTAAAACATAAACCAGCGACCCTTGCAAATAATTCTGCCACACCGTCTCCCGTTCTTGCTGAAACTGTCCAATATTCGGCTCTCATTCGTTTTGCCACATCTATTGCTCGATTTTCGATTATTTCGTATACTTGATTCGACTGAAAAGATAATCGAAATATAGTTTGATTTTTTTCAAGTATAAATTAACATATACATGTTCTTAAATTAAATTTATACTATTTTCTTACCAGTAAATCTCTTTTTGTACCAATTAAAAAAACATGACAAGGATTAGTGTTGCTTTTATATGCTTCCGTTAACCATTGTTGACAATGTGCCAAAGTCATTAAATTTCCCACATCAAAGACTATTATTATCGCTATATTAATGTAAATGAATTGAATTATTTTCGCGATGATAAATTAGGAACCCTTAAATAAAATTATTGTTTATAAAAAAATGTTACCATTAGCCGCTCTATAATAAGAAGCAGCGATACATTTAAAACGCTCTTGTCCAGCCGTATCCCATCTGAAAATATAACTATGTTTCTACAGCACAATATTTTGTAATTGTTTCACAGGGAAAGTTTGTAAGTACTTCGAAGATCAACTTACATCTGCAAGTGAAATGGTACGCCAAGAAGATCGAACCTTTCGACTTCGAAATCTACTCCGATAGTCGCCTTATAGTTATTATCAAAGAGTTTATGACAAAATCTTAAAGACGAAGACAGAATCTTTATATCATTTAAATTAATAAAAATGTTTAAATAATTTCATTTAAATTATACCGATTTACTAATGACGTCTTTCCGACTGCTACGTCTCCAATGACAATTACTTTCGATATTCGAAGAGTAAGAGATTTTTCTGCACAGGTTCGTTTAACGACATCATCAAAATCTCTTTCGCAATAAGGAGTTATCGCTGAAGAAAATGGGGGTGGCCATTTTTTAATCTGCCGATAATTATATAATTTTATGTAAGTATATAAATTAAATAAATATAATAAAGCATACCTGTCGTTCCTCATGAGCGTTAGTTTTCATTATTTTAAATACGGCAGAACGTGTTTCTAACATCGTGTTCAATAAAATATATTAAATTGACTTTCACTGGATTTATAAAATAATTAACTTGTCAGTTAACAATGAAAACGTTCTTTTTTTTAACGATATATTATCACATTATATATATATTAAAATATATAATATATCATACGATATATTTATACGTTTACGAGAAATAGTAACACTTCTGATCATCCAAGGATCTTAAAGAGTACTGCGCTAAAACATAAACATTGGTTGCTGTGACAGGTGTTTCCTCTATCGTACTTGGGTGTACATTAGTATCGTAGCATTAATAGTATCGTAATATATTCTTAGAATTAATAAGTTGATCAAAAAAAAAAAGGCCAAACATAACATGTTATACTTTATCTCGAAAATTATTTTTATATGTTAATGAACAAATAAAACTACAAATAATTTTATTTGTAGTTTTAATTTTTTTTTTCTTCTCAAACATTGGAATTTTCGTAAAGTTTAATTCTACTTTAATCAAATTTATTATTAAATTTATTATTCTTTACTTTAAAATATCATATCTTGTTTGAATATTTTAAGCTAATTATTATACATGCACATACATGAAGAATTTAATATTACTAAATATAACGAATTTTATTGTTATTGTTGAATATAATAATATATAATTGATTGTATTGAATACATTATTAATAAACAATTCTTTTATTTCATATTTTATTTTTTATTATACGTATTATAAAGGATATTTATACAAGCGTTAAAAATTGAATAAATTTTACATTTATATTAAGATGTTAAATAATTAACGTAATTTTCATATTTCCAAGGTGTTCGTTTCTGATTAGACGTATCGGCTGTTTTATCAACACAGTTCCCAAATCAAAATTTAAGAAAGCAGGTAAATTTAAAAATTGAGTTTGTATTGTTTTTAACCTTTAAAATACATTCGATTTAAAATATATATATGATTATAAAAAATAAATAAATATGATTATAATGGTAAAATCATATGTTTTCTATGTTTCTATGCTTCTTAAAAGCATAAAAAAATTATATTTTCCATAATGTAGTAAAAAGGTTATTAATTTAACCTTTAAAAAAGACATATGAAATGTCATATGCTTGATAAAAATATCTATCATTTTTTATTATAAGTATTTATCATTTCGTATTTTTCTTATTTATTCTGTTTAGCGAATAAAATAAAAAAGAATAAAGTAAAAAAGAACAGAAAAAGAAAATTGAGAAACCAACAACTGTGGCTTCTGTTCAAAAATAACGAAGCCAGTATTTAAATGCCAGTTACTATCGCAAAATAGCCATCAAGTGCTAAAATTGTAAGTTCTATTAAATCTACAGTTTTGTAACCAAAATGAATATATTCATAAGACCAGATAGGAAAAAGGCGTTTAATTCATGATTATAACGCTCTTGATATTAATTTCAATAAAATTTTCATTGTATTAATATATTTATTAATTATTATAAAATATAAAAAATTGTATTTATCATATAATAATGAAATCAATAGTTTATATATTTTATTAAAACGAGTCTAGTTTCCTGTTTCTTATTTCTAATAATTGGTATAAAATTTTTCAAGTTTCCAAAGTATTTGCAAATGCAATATAAAAAAAAAATTATTTATATTTCTTTTATAAACAAAAGGAATTTGGAAGTAATATCATAAAAATATATGTATTTATGTCGATACAGTATTAATTTCATTTTTGTAAATTTCGTGCTGATTTTATATATATATATTTATGTATGTATATGCATATATATATATATATATATATATATAAAAGATTTTTGAAATTTTATTTACAACATTAGCATTTAATTACATTTATAAATAATAAGATAATATATATCTGAAAGTTTATAAGAACATTTATATATTACATATGTAATAAGTGAACTCTATATATATCAATGCATATTATTTTAGTAGAAGACTGATAATATTCATGTACTTTGAAAATGTAGTTTTTATTTTGCATAATATATGTTACATATATTTCTTTAAATAGACCTATACATCAATACATTCGACATTCCTCGCATACGTGATAAGAAATGTATGGTGAAATGTCCTTGTAAACATTTTTATCCAAATTAAGAGAGTTATTTAAAATATTGTTTTTCCTGCACATTTGTCATTTAAAATATTATTTTTCCTGTATATTTTATGTACTTATATACTATCTCCTTAGTATGATATATTTTATTTATACAAACATATACAATTTAAAAACAAATGAATGTTTATATTTCAATACTTATACAAATGTCACACATTACAATTTATTTACAATCCTAAACGTCCTGGAGTTTTACGATATGGTGCTGGAGTACCTGGTTCTCTGATACCTGGTGTAAGAATCTCTTTTCTTAAAAAGAAAGAAGTAAATAAATAAATAAAAAAGAAAAATAAGATCAAAAAAGAAATTGATAAATATACTTAATAGTAAATCTACCTTTTAACAGAAGCTTGTTCACGTTCTAATTGTTCTTGTGCTCTTGCTTTCATTTCCTCTTCTGCTTCTTTCATTTGACCCTCCATTTCATGCAGATGTTGCATTGCTTGTCGTCGTTTTGCTCGACCACTTCGTCCAGTTTCTTTCACACTAAAGAACATCGGACCTAATTCAGCTAACCAGTGTCCATCGACCGCGGTTACACATTGCATGTATTCTTTTGCCGTCATAACTAGTTCATGATAAACGACATAGTCAGGTGTAAAACCCATACCAAATAAAGCTGAAGTAGGATGAAGATGACAGGGCATTCCAGTACGACAATTAACATATTCACCGATACCCTTTAATCGAGCTGCCTGATGGAAATACGCGGAACATATGCATTTACGTACTATGTCCCAATCAGTGCCACAACTAACAACTTCCATTTTTTGCTGTTTTAAAATTTCTTCCAGTTGTTGACGCACTTCTCTGACTTTACGTATAGCTTTTGCATGTATAAAATGATCATTACACCATGAAGTAGAATATCCATTAGCTTTCCACTGATTATATACATTGAGGTATGTCAAGTGATCTGACTCTGGAATTTGAAATTTTTCTCTTGCTGAATCAGAATCTTCCTCTCGACCTTTCGGGCGATAAAATATTGAAGGCACTGATAACATAGAAACTGTAATAATCACAAAAATAAATAATTATTAAATTTTTATCGCATAAAAATTGAGAGGATATTAATAAGATTTTAATTTAAAATATACCTATAATTAAAATATCTGCGGTACAACCAAGCTGAGAAGCAACTATTAGCATTTGACATTGTGGAGGATCCAAAGGAAATTCTGCCATTTGACGTCCTAAAGGTGTTAACCGTCCTGTATGATCAAGAGCACCCAATATCCATAACTGATACAAAGAATTAAGTATATTGTCTTGTGGCGGAGGATCCATAAAATGAAAAGCAAGTAAATCTTGAACTCCCAATGATTTCAGAAGTAATACAGTATTGGCTAAATTTGTACGCTGAATTTCTGGCACTCCTGTTGCCAGTAGTTCATCTAAATATTGTCTACGTGTGTACAATCTGTAACAGTAACCAGGTCCAGTACGACCAGCTCTTCCAGCACGCTGATCAGCATTAGCTCTTGAAACAGGATATACTTGAAGGGCATCCATACCAATTCGTGGATTATATACTTTCAGTTTACAGTATCCTGAGTCAACAACAAATACAATTCCATCTACCGTCAAAGATGTTTCTGCTATATTGGTTGCAACAACGCATTTACGTAATCCACCTTCCGAACGTTGAAAAATTTTAGCTTGTAAATCCGACGGTAATTGAGAATATATTGGTAAAATTGAAAGTGGAGGAGCTGATTCTATTTCAGCCAATCTTTCTTTCAATGCTTCACACGTGACTTCGATATCTTCTTGACCAGGCATAAATACCAAAATATCTCCACTTCTTGGTTGTAAATGGATTTGCAAAACTTGTTTCACAGCAGCGTCTACATAATCTTCAACTGGATTTTTTGCATGTAAAATCTCAACAGGAAATGTTCGACCAGGAATCTGAAATGTTGCTGCATTTCCAAAAAACGCAGAAAATTTACTTGAATCCATTGTAGCTGAAGTTACAATTAGTTTCAAATCGTGTCTCCTTGCAACAACCTGTTTTACATATAAAGTAGTGATAAATAAATATTATATAAAGATAAAATACTTTTTAAAGTATGTAAACATTACCTCTCTAAGTAAACCAAACAAAACATCAGTAGAAAGAGATCGTTCATGAGCTTCATCCATAATTATTACACTATATCGATCTAAATCACCTTCTCGTAAACTTTCTCTTAACAAAATACCATCTGTCATATATTTTATAACAGTCTGTAAAAATAAACGGTAATAATAAGTCTTCAAAATCTTTTTCATATTCAAAAAAGTATCTAATATTCTATAGAATTACTTACATCTTTGGATGTACAATCCTCGAAACGAATTGCGTAACCAACTTTTTCTCCTAATGCTGTAGCCATTTCATCAGACACCCTTTTGGCAACTGACATAGCAGCTACTCTTCTGGGACACGTACAACCAATTATTCCATAGCAACTATAGCCATCCTCATGAAGATATTGTGTTAATTGAGTAGTTTTACCACTTCCAGTTTCTCCTACTATTACAACTACACTATTTTCTCTGATAACATTCAAAAGTTCCTGTCTTACAGCGAATACAGGAAGACTTCTTCTTTGATGTTGTATAGATCGGTGTTTTGCTTCTCCAGTAATTTCACCAGCACCTATATGTCTTGCATATTTCTGACCAGCTTTAAAATCCATTTCCTGACCAGGAAGTTCTTTATCCTCTTTTCTTCTGTCACGTACACCCATAATGTTACCTATATGTGTTCCAGCCAACTCCCAATGTTTTTTCTGCGCTCTACGACGTTCTTTTTGTTCGCGGTATGCTCGTACTAATGCAGAGCCTTTTCTTGCTACAAGTGCCATATCGGAAGTAGGATCGCGCACAGGTACAACAGGCTCGGGCTGTTTAGTGAATACGATTCGCCCTAATTAATTAATTATTATTATTATTTCGTTATATTGTATTTTATATATAATATCAGTAATTGACATAAAAATAATATTTTTGAAAAAAGAATAACTTACCATCTAAAAATGGAGGTACTACATTATGAACTAGAAGGTGAACTCTTCCTTCTGCTTCATCATCTGGATCATCATCATGATCTAAAGAACTTACAACACCTGAAGTTAACATTCTATTTCTTTCCCATAATTCATTATCTTTGTTTATTTGCCTCTGCTGAGCTGAAACTCGTTTCTGT